GAATTCTTACAAAGAAGATTCCAGACATCGCAGATGTTGGAAACAGAACGAGGAGAAACAGATCAGAGACAACAAATAAAGAATGAGATAACTTGTGTGGTGTATCTTGAAGAACATAAACTGTTCAAAAGTTCAAAGTTTGCAATTACGTGAAAAAAACACAATCGTAAAGGAAAAGCAATGGTGCGGTAGATGCCTACTACACAAAAGGGAACTACCATGTTATTCCTCTTATAGATGTGCAGAATGTGGTGGATAGCACAATTCATTACTACACATGTCAAAAGGTCAGTATGATAACGGAAGGAATTCTTAAAATAGAAGGCCACAAAATAAAACCAATTACAGTGGGACCAGAGGTCACAACAGTTACAACGGATTATCAAGGAAACAAGAGAATACTGTGAGCTGTTTAAGTCATCAGAATGAAAAAGTGCTACTTGTAACGGCATTAGTACGAGTAAGAGACTTAAAACAAAGCTCACAATAGATAAGAGCATTGATTGGCCAAGACTCGCAGTTATTATTTATTATGGAGCAGGCCGCCAAAATAAACAGAACGGCTGTCTACGCTCAGATATCTGGAATTGCCAATGAAGACCAAAGGACATCGAAATGGAGTTTGACGTTAAACTTAGAGGCACAGAGGTATTTTAAACATGAATTTAAAATAAAGACCGAAGCACTTGTACTACGAAAAATAACAAAAAATATACCGGAGAAGGAGATACAGATAAAAGAAACGAACCATAGTAACTTAGTCCTGGCGGATCCAAATTTTAATGAAACAGGTTCAATAGATATTTTATTAAAAGAATACAGTTTAATATTACTGGACAGATAAGATCGAATAAAGAGTGGTTTTTTCATCCAAAATACAAAATTGGGTTGGATAATGTCAGGGATAGCACAGCAAGAGAATATTTTTGTATATTCTTGAATATATAAGTACTCAGCACGATATCTAGTCAACGGATGAAAAAAAAAAAAAAAGAAGTAGATCAAAGCAATACTCTGTCAGTGGAAGAAAAAGATTGTAAAGAATATTATAAAAAAAACCGTAACGGGATAAGAAAGAAAGATTTAAAGTTAAAATGCCCTTTATTTCTAATACAAGTCTATTCTAAATACAAGTATTAGGAGACTAAAAACAGCAAGCATATGCGAGACTGCTGCAATTAGAGAAGAAATTTCAAAGAGATACATAAGAGAAAGAGTACATACTACCTAAAGTGGAAGCGACATATAAACGTGCAATGGAATATGAAAAAGAATATACAAACACATACGAAAAATATTAAATCTTCGTTACAATCATGCACACTTCATAGATAATATAAAACCTGGACAAATATAGTCAATTATTTAAAATGCTAAAAGGTTTCTTTCACAAGGAGTAGTTATAAGAATGCAGCCAATAATAGATACGATCGTACAAAATAAAGAAGGAGACATCGTCATTATTGGCTATTTCCTAATAATTGACAACACTAGATACAACCTACTGAGAATCACAGCTCTTCGGTTGTCGGTAAGAGGTGGTGTTGTGCGCTCGATGTTGGTCCCAAGGCATCTACTTGCGGTAGATTACAATAACTTACCCTATTTTTAAGTGACATATGAAGATTAAGAAAGGTGTATAGAATTAAACAAAGGAGAGTTGGCATGTTCACCAGTGGGAATCATTAATATGGATACTCAGCCAAATTGTATTTTACATGAATTATATGATAGAACTACGAACACCACCTGCAATATAATAGAGTACACGATAAATGAAGCTAGTTGACTGAAAATGAGCACACTAAATCTCTGGCTAGTCATTTCACCACACACTATAAATTTAGCTATAATGTACCACGGTTTTCACAAGCTGTCACCAAAATGCGTTGTTCAGAGCCGAAACATAACATTACTCATATCCAGTAATGGATTGAAAACAGCAATTGGAAGTTATTTAAAGACTCCCGTCACTTCCATTGGAGAGATAATGCAAAGGCCAATCATAAAGCAGATCAACATTCCCAGACATGATATAGATATTCGAGGAGATGAGTTGCCAAATATTGTACTTGAGGCAGAGCAGTTTGACAAAAATATATCCGAATTTGTGTAAAACCATTGATTACCATCAGTCTGTTCCTGATTTAACCAAGGGACTTGGTCACTATATTCATTGTTATGTTTATTGTCATTATGTGGACTATAGTCAGATATATTCGAAACTCCAAGAGAGCCAAAAAACAAAAGCATTAAGGTTCTTGCATCTAACCTCATCAAGCGCCTCGAAGACATACGGTATCACAATCAAATTTTAGTAAAACTTTAGGGAAAGCCCCTCCTCTCAAGATCAGTTTCACTTAATGAGCTTAGATTTGAATTAGATAGTTAAGCCGAATCATAAATTCTAAATATTTACGTTGTAGGTAGCACCGCTCGGGTGAGATAATAACTTAAAAACCGAGTAAATTAGTGTTATAATTATTGTTATATTATTATTATCTTATATTTTATGTTAAGATGTTTCCTATTGGTCGTCTGTTTCTTTTATATAATGCCCAATATGTTCAATTACAAATTAATCCCTTAATTTGTAATCTCACGTTATTCTTAACTTCTAAACCTTTTATAGTTTTACCGTGTATAATCAAAACATTGTGAAACATATCGAGTAATATTTTAATAATTAGAGTCCATTTAACCTGCAAACCTGAAAACTTAATAAACTGCCAAATAATGTATTTTCTAACTAAACTTCCTCTATCTATCTATCTATACAGCCCTAACATCCATCCTTGGATATAAATAGGCCTCCTCCTCCTTCTTCCATGCCTCCTATCTTGGGCAATTTGCATCCATTTTGACCCGACGTGTTTCTTCAGGGCATCTGACCATCGCATTTGTGGCCTTCCCCTTTAAGTTTGTAATTCCATGGTCCAATGTATAATTGTCTTAGTCCAACTTTCATCTTTCTGCCTTAGGGTGTGTCCGGCGAACTTCCATTTAAGCTTTGCTACTTGGGTTGAGACATCTTTCACTTTTGTTTTATTACGGATTCGTTCGTTTCTTTTTCTGTTTGATAGTTTAATGTTCAGCATTTTTTTCTATGGATCTTTCTGTCTTTGCTATTTTTTCCATATTTACCTTTGTAAACGTCCATTTCTGAGAGCCATATGTGAGGACAGGGAGTATCCATTGATTGAAGACTCTCGTTTTTAGTTATTGAGGGTATTTTGAATTCTTTAGAATATAAGACAGTTTTCCGAATGATGCCAAGGCCAACCTTATTCTTCTCTTTATTTCTTCGATTTGATTTTCTTTATTTAATTTAGTGATTTGGCCTAGATATATATACTCTCTAACTTGTTCTACTCTTGTTTGTGCCACTGTAAATTTATCTTGAGTCCAATTTTTGTCGATTCTCTATTTAGTTCTTCCATCGTCTTCTTTTTATCTCCTTTCTTAAATAGTAACAGTGTTACTGCTTCGTTCCAACTGTTGGGTATTTGTTTTGTCATTAGTATTTTATTCATAAGTATGTACAAAACTTCTCTAGTTGTTTTACCACCATGTTTTAGCATTTCTACAGTCACCCCGTCTTTTCGTGGCGATTTATTGTTCTTCATCTCATTGAGTGCTCTTCTTATCTCGTTCTTACTGATTTCTGGTTGTAAGTCGGAATTAACATTTTTTATTTTTATTTGTAGTTGCTTAAGGATTCCTTGGGTTGGTTTCTGTTTTGTATTATAGAGGTTTTTGTAATATTCTTGTGTTATCTGTATAATTTCTTCTATATTATTGGTCTCTGTACCTTCTGTGTTCTTTATACCATTAATTTGTATGGTTCCAAGCTGTGGTTTTCAGCACTTCATGTTTTTACTTTGTGCAATTGCTTTTTCTATTTTTTCTTCCTGTACGCTCCTTTTATATTCCTTGATATTCCTTCTGATAGCTTTGTTTACCTCTTTGTAATCTACTGTATTTTTCTTATCTTGTTCCAGTAATATTTTTCTTTTACTCATGAGATTTTTTGTTTTCTGGGATACATAGTTTTCCTTTTTTATTTTTGTTTGTGCTACCTCTTTTCCCACCTTTGCTAATGTATCGGTTAATTTTTGATTTATTTTATCGATATTTTTGTTTTCCAAATCTGTAGTGACCGGTATAATTACACTTATTTTTTGTTTATATTCGTCTTTTGATTGCTTAAGTTTTTCCATATCGAGTTTCGATACATTTTCCATTTTCTTTTTTGTTTCGAATTGGCTATTAATCCTGAGTTTGGCTCTGAGAAGTCTATAATCGCTACCGGTTGAGAAGCGGTTCAGTACTGTAACATTTTTGATGATGGTTTTTTGTGTTGTAAGGATGTAATCTATTTCGTTTTTTGTATTACCGTCCTAATAGTGAAGAGAACTTTCTAAGTGTTGCAATAATGGCTTAGATTAAATTTTATTGTAAGCTCATTGTTTAAAGTTTGTTAGTATGAAAGAAGCAGTAACCTCTGTGCTGAGGTATACATTATTTGTGAAAGTATAAATGGGGAATTTGAGCTCATTTGAGGGCTTATAGAAAGTTCCCTAACCAACAACTAGAGTGTAATTATTAGTAGCTGTCAATAAAACTGTAAGTTTTACTTCAAACTTTAACCATTTATTTACCATCGTCGATCGAGAAGAATTGGACAAAGGGGAAGTAGAAAACAATTCGATACCGATATTTACATTGAATTGTCCAGTCCAGTTGTATTTTTAAATTTAAATATCAGTTTTCAAGGTGAATAAAATAATTGTAATATTAATTTATTATTTACATAAATTTTAATAAACTTAGAAAAGTTTGCATGTTGTATAACGGACAATTGTAAAAATGAGACATTATATTTATATGCAATTATTTTAAAACGAGAACAAAAATAATAGTTATAAAATTAATATTTACGTAAGCACTAAACAACTTTTCCAAATAGTAAGTATAAATAAATTTTTAATAATACTTACCATATGAGGAAATTCTTCTTCTTTTGAAAACTGTGGAGTAGCAATAAGTTCATTATTGTATATTTCACACTCAAGATACCGATGAGATTCTCCAAAAGCAGTCGTTAGCGACCATTCGTAAGCATAGCTGCTGTATACTTTGCACACTAAAAACAGTTAAATATAAAAATAAGATAATTTATAGGTACGTTTAAATATGTAATTGAAATGGTAAAGAAAATATTTCGAAAACATGAAGGATTTGTAAAAAATTTTCTGGAACAGTTAAAAACTTTTTGGAAAAGTTGTTTTTATCAATGAATAGAGTGCCAATAGGTGGTTTATTTCCGTATACTTTTATCTCCTATATCGTCGTTCAGATGTCAAAATCTTGTATCTCAAAATTAGTGTATTTTGGGAAATCAGTTAAAACTTCCCAGAGTAGAAAATATAACTTTTAAAGTTATTTTTTTTTCTGAAATGTGGGTAGTTCCACGAAATGAATTATTTGTGATAGTGATTAAACTCGAAAAAAATAGAGTTAGATTTTTTTGGAAAAAAATCGTGAGATACGAGTTTTTGAAATTTAAATAGTATTTAATTTCAGGTCTTACGAGGTTTTGGTAGCATATTTTCAGCCCTCTTACTCATTTTTACACGCAAAGAACAATATTACAGAAGAAAAATAAAATGTTTATTCTTAAATAAGAAATAAAACAAACATGTTACATAAGTACTCTGATATAAAATAAAATAACACAACTATTTTCAAAATTTTGAAAACAAAAAATTAGTGCTTCAACGAGTTGTAAAAACCATGATAATCTGGGTGAATAACAGTCTTAAGAGACTACAGGTGATTAAATTTGTCTTCTGTAATGGGCAAATGGTCATTATACATTTTTCTTACGATTCCTGCATTATTCGTATTTTTGCGAACTGGTAAAAACTGCCACTCCTCCTCAAAGTTTAGTTTGAAATGGAATGAGGCAAATCTCTGGAATACCTGAGAGCCCTCAGATTATTCACGCATACATCTCCCACTTTATTTCCTGGACGAATGGATGAATAATACTAAATTTCGGAACAGTCATTAAAAAATTGTTGATCAATGTATTTAACATTGTATGGATTTTGGAAATTTTTACGGGCCTCTTTAATTATTTCCACATGATTGAATGGTGAGTAAATGCATTTTTTTTTTCTTTCAATGGTGGAGTGCACACTATCGCACTCCATTTGCGAGTGACCTTTAACTAAATATTTCTGTATAATAACCGTATCATTTTCGTTGCAGAAATGCTGAAGTGCATTAGCCAATGTTACGTTGCGATTTTGTCCAGAACATCCATCGCTATAAAAAATTTTTGATTTGTCCTTTTCTTGGGCATCTAACCCTTCATTTAAAAAATCAATTATACAAGATGTAAAGTAGTTGGCATCCGTTTTGCCCTCTCCCTCATGCCATACATAACAAACTACCTTATTATTTGTTAAATTAAAGATGGTGAAGTTATGGCATGCTAGTTTCTGTTTAAAGTATACCATGCCTGCTGGGACGACAGGGACAAGTTAGACCGCTTGTACATGCATCGTAAATACGCACACTTTTTCTTCCAACGCATATTCTTTATTCTTGATTTTTTCCTTTTTAGCGCGATCTTTTTGGCTAATATGCGATTCATAATCTTCTTGCTCTACATTGCCCAGTTTATGCGAAAAACATAAATCACACTGGTCCTTCCTTGGATGATACACATCAATGTTTGTGTTTTTCATTTCTTTTAAGAAAACATCATATCCTACAGCAGATTGTGGTTCATAATTTTTGTATACGTCATATACTTCCTTATATGATTGAAAAGTTGTTTCCAAATAAAGTTTACTCGTTGATGAACGGCAATAATGGGAGGGCATCTTTGGCAGTTTTTTAAGGAATGCTTTAACTTTATTTCTGCGTTCAATATTGACAGGTTTAATCTTGGAAGAAAAAGTAGTAGTAGTTACTTTTGGGATACCCGCGTCACAACTAGTTTTCACCCAGTTTTGAACACTCCATTCACCCAATCCTAATGTGGAGAGAAACATTTTCTTGCAAACTGGAATTACGGTATTATCTATTTTCAAATGATAAAATAAACTTAAATTACGTCTTGATTTATTTTGTGTTCTTTTTTGCACTGTTGGCTGTTTATTAACTAGCGTACACAGAAATATCTTTCGTTGATGCCAATCCATCTCAGACCAAAACTCATCAAAAATTTTCCTTTGTTGATCATCATTTATCATTGAACATTTCCTTTTTTCTTTTGCTGCTAAACACTCTGCTAAAATACATTTTGGTTTCATTTCCCGGGAGTTTCTCTTTATGGTAACTATAGATCCATCTTTCTTCTTCTTTTTTGCTCTATATTCTTTACCACGCATCTTAAACATGTTTGTTCATTTCTTTCCCAAGTAGAAAAATCTGCTTTGTCTTTTTTGCTACGCCTTCTCTTCTCATTTTTTTCTTCTCGAAGAGCGTCTACTTCTTTAGGCGTCGCTTTAATTTTTTTGCGTCTGGCGACATTTACAGCTTCATCTTAAGAATCCGACGAACTATTTGGATGATAACTTGACTCTGATCCTTCGAAAGGTTCTTCAAATTTAATATTGGTGTTATAGTGTCGATTTTCTGCAGCTTCACTGATATTTTCTATATTCAAAGTTAGATCCCTACTTACATTCTCCGTCTGAGTACTGTCCTTGACATCAACATTCATACTATCTTCTATATTAATACTAGCCAAACATCTGCTTTGGTTGTCATTTTTTAAATGATATCCTGTTTGAATAGCAGTACTCTTTGGGTTAAAAATAGTACAGGAATGTACTTGAATGTTTTGTGAACAACCTGATGAAAAAGTAGTGTGCTGGAAACTCAAGGATTCTTCTCGAAAGGTCTCATAAACTTGTTCAAAGCCTGTATTTGCTTTTTTCCAATCTTCTACATGACAGCTCTTAAGTTCTGCGACTTTTATCTCTTCTTCTGCGATCTCTTTAGAATGTAAATTTTGATTGGTAGTACTTTCATTCTGCTCAATATCAGAATCCGCTTTTAGACTTTCTAGTGCTGATTTGACCATTCTTAAAGCCCGGCTTGCGAAAAATAAAACAAAAAATACTTATTTTGTTTCCAAAGAAACCTCGTAAATCAATATTGTAAATACTTGATTATATTTTGGTAGGTAACGAAACCTCGTATCACAATATTTTTCACTTAAAAATTTACTGTAATACATTATTTTGGAAATACTTGTACCAACTGACAAGTTTTTGCTTTTCCTTAATTGATTTATATAATTTGTTTCAGTTGTTCACTTGAAATATAGAGTTTTCACTTACCATAGCTTCTAATAAACAGTTATAATTCTTTTAAACCTATACAACTGCACAAAACTGTTGAGTATTTAACATTTTTTCAGACACGTGTTGACTTACGTGGTTTCGTGCGCAACATGTGAGATACAAGGTTTCTAAATTCGAGTGACGGAGGTGCAATTTTACATGCTTTGTAATAAGAGGTTTCTCAATCGATGCGGCTCGATTTCCTAATATAGGCCACACAAAAAACGAAAAACCATCGAAAATTGAGATACGGGGTTTTGACATCTTAGCGACGATATATATTCTTTGCTCTCCTGCTATTGTGATCATTTTTTGTTCATCTCCTACACGCGTTTTTATCGCTGTTACTTAATAATCTGTTGATCAGTATGGTATTATCAGAAAGATAAAAACTAAAACCAAGATAATATGATAAAAAATAAGATTTTGGAGATTTATGTATTCACTAAACACAGTGACAATTTTATCTATTATAAAAAGCATAGGTGCCAAAATATATCGAAGTCCAAGTAAATTTTGAAAATTTTATAATTTAAAACAAGAACTGACCATTAAAATTTGATAATATGATATTTTACCGGCAAACTCGGAAAGAAAAAACAGAACAACTAGCGGTTATCGAAGATTTTGAAATCAGACTAAGAAACAAAGGGGGCGAACTTCTGAACTTTCTCTTGCATCATACAATGCATACCTTTTTTTTTAAGAAAAACATTCACAGAAAAATATTCAACAACGTTACACATTCACAAAAAACAACAATGGATGACTGATGAAATCCTGAAATTAATGAAGCAGAGAAGGAAACTGAAAGGTAACAAGACAGAATATAAGGAAAAACAGCAACTAAATAAACAAAAAGTAAAGATGGCTAAAGAAAAATGGATGAGGATAAATGCAAGGAATTAGAAAAGTTGAATGAAAAACATGATACGTTTAATATGTTTAAAAAAGTTAGAGAAGTAGCTGGTCTTTATCATAAGAAAACTTCACATACTATAACCGATTCGTCGGGAAAAATTATAATAGACGAACATAAAATTCGAACAACCTGGTGTAATTATATAAGTAAACTGTATAATGATGATAGACCCGAAGAACCGGAGACTTTAGTTGAAGGTGAAGGATCAGAAATACTAAAATCAGAAATACTGCATGCTATTAAGTTAGCAAAGAACAAGAAAGCCGTTGGCCCTGATAACATACCGACAGAGATGTTAAAGCTTATAAATGAGGAGAACATTGGAATACTGGTCAAACTTTTCAATGATGTTTATTCGACTGGTGATATCCCTGAAGATTGGTTAAAATCCGAATTCATAACACCACCAAAAAAACAACGTCCGAAAAACTGTAGCGATTATAGAATGATAAGCCTTATGCGCCACACTTTGAAAATATTTCTACGCATCATCCACAGTAGAATCAGAGATAAATGTGAAGAAGATCAGGATGAAACACAATTTGGCTTCAGAAATGGACTGGGAACTCGGGACGCCCTCTTTGCACTAAATGTATTACTGCAGAAATGTCGAGATCAAAGGAAAGACGTCTTTGCTGTATTTATTGACTATGAAAAGGCCTTTGATGGAGTACAGCATCACAAATTAATTACAATATTAAAAGATAAAGGAGTTGATAGTCAAGACATACGATTCATAGAAAAGTTATACTGGCTTCAAACAGCGACAGCTTGCATAAACGGAAAATCAACAGAAATATGTAAAATACAAAGAGGTGTCAGACAGGGTTGTATACTGTCCCCACTGTTATTTAATTTATATTCAGATAGAATATTTAAAGAAGCGCTGCATAATTTGGAATGGGGCGTGAAAGTTAATGGAATTCTGATAAATCCAATCAGATATGCAGACGATACAGTTATTTTAAGTGATGACATGAATGGATTACAATGACTTTTAAATGCCATTGATACAGTGGGAAGAGAGTTTGGCCTAAACATAAACTGTTCAAAAACAAAACACATGGTGGTTAGCCGTTTAGCACATCAAGATGCACGATTATATGTTGATGGTCATATAATTCAAAGAGTGTCCACTTTTAAATGTTTTGGTTGCCATATTACTGAACAACTGGATCCAGATCAAGAGATAAAATGTAGACTCGAGATAGCCCGCACGACATTTTTAAAAATGAGGTCATTCTTCTGTAATGATAACTTGAAACTTCAACTTCGAAAACGTATGGTTAAATGCTACATTTGGTCAGTCCTCTTATATGGTGTCGAAGCATGGACATTAAAATTATCCACCATTAATCGTCTGGAGGCCTTTGGAATATGGTAACACAGACGTATACTAAAAATTCCTGGCTGGCTGGATTTCTGAAAAAAGCTGGCTTATTTGCCAGCTGCACTGTAATGAATTACCTTTGCGACACCTTATGAATTGCCTTTATGGTAGTATAACTGGACTTCGTCACTTTAACGGACCTATAGGACAAGCACTCATTGGATGTGAAAATCTACCTGTTGTTAAGTTCAGTGTAATTGAATCATATGTAGAGAAGAATGTGGATAGGTCTGATTTAAGTACAGATCAACAATATCTTCTTGACATGTGCGTTGCAATCTCAAAGGGAAGTATTGACAACAAACTTTCTAAATGGTGCCCAGGTAAAATAGTGCATTTCCGCTGGTTAACATTGGCTAACCGTATACTACGTTTATATGTTTCCACTGTGATTCCACAAGATAACATGATTACCTTAGCAACCTGTATTTTAAAAGTGTATGCTCCAGTATGGTTCCTTATAAAAACCAGACCGTCCTGCCTACATGGAGCCTTTAATTTTTGGAAAATGATTCCGTTATCTAGGTATTTACCACAACCCCTAAAGGATAGGAGATCCACTATGCGCCGTATTTTTAAAGCTCGAACAAGTTACATAAACCAGCGACTACAAACATTTGAGGTACCACCTGTGCTTAATATGAACGCTATAAATTATATCGATATCACAAATTGGAGTACAATACCCTTAACTGAACCACCATTAACAATTGGAAGTTCGAATGAAACTTTACAGGAAACTGTGGTTAATCCGGAGACATCAGCACTGTTATCGGAGCTTAAGTTATATCTGTCTCACATGCAAGCCGTTGAACGCATGACTAAACTTGTGACAGAGGCTTCAGCAAAAGTTTGTGGTGCTGATAGCAGAGATGGTTTGATCAGAACCAAACTGGAATCACACCGAATTATGTCTTCTTTTAGGTCAAAAAAAGATTATAAGTTTTAAGAACAGTTGTTTGTTTGTTTAATTTAAGTATACAATTTATTTTTAATGATTTAATGATTTTTTTTAAATATTAATGTAAATTACGTTGTGGCAGTTACAATATTAAAAATAAAAACATGAATAATTAACAACATTTTTGTTTCATTCTATGTATTATAACATTTTCGGATAAGTTGTAACACTAGTAAAATTTTAAATTCAAAATTCTAGTGACCTTGTGGCAGTTCAAAACAGCAAAATATGAAAAAAGTTATTTTTACAAAAAAATTATTTTCCTACTCCACATGTTTGTTTGGATTGCAAAATCTGAAATAAAAATATTTTTAAATTTCGTATACAAATCGGCCTACCATACTGTAGAACAAAAACATTATGCTGGGTGCATTTCTTAATATAGTAGACTAGAGAAATAAGCTTTTTTCGTGACACTGATCCGCCCAGACCAACGACAGTTGTTTTTAGTAGTATGGACCTCTGTAATAAAAACCTATATGTTTTCTGCAGTCGATTTTTTGGACTTAACTAGTTTCTAACAAATTAATGTCAAAAAATGGTGAATTTTCACTTTTTTGTAAATTAGCTAAAGGGGAGACATTTGAAACAGATTTGAGAGTAATTGTTCCTCTTACTGTTCCTCTGTTGTGAAATCTGGTCATCAATAGGCTGATATGACATGGTTATCTTTATCATCATCACAGTCATTAACATCTTAGTAGATGTGTTGTGGTTCATAATTGGGCTTCAGCAGCTCGGACAGTTTGATTGATAATATTTCTTCACTGGTCGCGGTCATCAGTTATATATATTGCCTCAGTATACTGTTTATTGAGAAGCTTTTTAGTAATGTCCGCCCATCGCTGTGGAGATCTTCCGCGTTGGCGTTGAGTTTGAGGCCTTCCTTGGACCACCAACCGCTCTATTTTGTGATCACTTCGATGGATATGGCCAAAGAACTTTAAAATTCTAGAGTAAACGGTACTAGAGAGACGCTGATCCGGTTTAATTTCATCCAGAACCGAGATATTTGTACGGCGAGCCGTCCATGGAATTCGAAGCAGGCGTCTCCATGTCCACATTTCAAAGGCGTCTATACGTCGTCGATCTGATTCTTTGACTGTCCATGTCTCGCATGCATAGTAAAATATGGAAAAGACCAGAGTTCAAAGAGTCTCTTTTTGTTTGTCATAGTAATGTGACGATCACGCCAGACCCCGTTTAGTTCACTCATTGCTGCTCTTGCTAGTTGAATGCGTCTTCTAATTTCGGATTCACAACTGCCTGTGTTGTTAACTAGAGCTCCAAGATATATCATAGATGAGACTACCTCGCATCCCGCAATAGTTTGGGTTTCAGGAAACTGTTGTTGGCGATCAATAACCATGATTTTGGTTTTGTTGTAGTTAACCATGAGTCCAAATTTAGCACTTTCTACCTCGAGTTTTTTTAATAATTTAGTAATTTCTTCTGGAGTAGAGGCTAGAAGTGTAGTGTCGTCTGTGAAACGCAAGTTAGATATCTTAACACCACCTAGGTTTACTCCTCCCTCCCAACCATCTAAAACTCTGCGCATTATGAACTCCGAATAGATGTTAAATAATAAGGGAGATAAAACGCATCCTTGGCGTACTCCCTTCTCCAAAGTGCATTTGTCAGACAGATATCCGTCCATTCGAATATGGGCCAGGTTATCTTGATACAGTTTGCTAATAAGGTGAGTTAAGTGTTTAGGTACACCCATTGTCGTCAATATGTTCCATAGTTTGTCCCATCTAACATTATCAAAGGCCTTTGTATATTCGACGGAACATATAAATATCGGGATCTGGTATTCTCTGGCTTTTTCTATGATGTTTCGTACATTAAGGATTTGTTCTCTAGTAGCTCTGCCCTTTACAAATCCAGCCTGCTCAGGTGCTATTTGCCAACTTATGAAGTTTTCTAGACGCCGTTGCAGTATGTAGAGGATCATCTTACTGGCGTGTGATATTAGAGCTAATAGCCTGTAGTTGTTACAATTATTTGTTGAACCTTTCTTATGAAGAGGTATGATTATGGTATTTCTCCAATCCTCAGGCCAGACGCCTGTGTGCCATATTTCATTGCACAATCGATGTAATATTTTTACTCCACATTCCGGATGATGCTTTAAGACGTCTGCAGTAATGAGATCATATCCTGCTGCTTTGTTTAACTTAAGTCTTTTTAAAGCGAATTTCACCTCGGAAAAAAGTATGTCAGGTTCAGACTCAAAACTAGTGTGGTGTGTCTCTGTTGAAGGAGAATGGAAAGTGGAGGTCTGGTAGTCAGGTACAAACGGGGCGTCCGCTGGCATCTGGTCCGTATTGGCGTATAAAGACTTACAATACGCTCTCCAAACATCAATATCCTTGTCCAAATCCGTCTGTACATTACCTTCATCATCTTTGATAGACCAAGATTTCTGCTTGAATTTACGTGTGAGTTGTCTGACCTTATCAAAGAGTTCTTTGGTGTTATTTGTGTCGGCGTGTAGTTGAATTTCTCTGCAGATTTTCTCTATATGCTTGTTTTTGTCTCGTCTACAAGCAGCCTGAATAGCTCTAGATAGCTGTCGGTACTGGGAATTCCTGAGAGGGTTCTCGATTCCAGAAATTTTAAGTTTTCTACGTTCTTCAACGAGGTCAAAAGTATCTGCAGACATCCACACTTTTTTGGTCCGGTTGAGACGGCATTAGACTGTGCCTCGCAGTCAGTCAAGGTCTGTATCAAGGTATTTTTAAAAGATAACCAAATCTTTTCGGAATCATGAGTGACGATAGTTGGTAAAATATTTTCGAATCTTTCATTACATTGGATTTTAAATTGTTGTGTATCTTTTATTTTTGATATCCTCTTGTTTCGGATCCTAGCACATGCCTTGAATTTTGTGTTATCTTAGCTCATGGCAAATTTAATGACACAGTCAAAAATAAAATACAACAAATTCCGACTGTAATTATAGGATGGTCTTTAAATATAGTGCTTAATACGAGCCCCTAGAAGTGTAAAATCATAAAATTTACCACAAGATAGTAAGTCTGGTGAGTAAAGTTATATATCCAAGTTTACGTAATACTAATTTACTTTCAGATCCTATAGAATTCTTGTATCCAAAATGTTTTAGGATATACATTTTTATTAGATATAATGTAGTCTATCACTGATTTTCGTTGCCCTGTCACTGACAAAGTAGATGGATATTAAGGTTTATGTGGTTCTAACGTATTGCTAATTCTTAATTGACTATACGCTTTAATTATAAAACAAAAGTAAACTTTAATAGTTATTTTACCTACTTTTATCGGCTATGTCCCCAGGACGTGGTCCAGTTCTATTGTTTATGTTGTCCTTCTCTAATGGTGCAGAAATTACTTTTGGAAGGTATATAGGATCATCTAAACAACAAACAATTTGTTCGAAATGTTTAGTTTGGTTACATATAACTTCCATTTCGATACCTTTAAGAATATTTTCTATTGCAAATTTACATTGATGTGCAATAATACATATGCCTTCATGGCCAGAGTTTGTGATACACCTTTCATCTGAAAATATTATCATTTAATATAGATTTTTGCATAAGTTTTTATAGAAAAAAAAATAGAGTATTTTAAGAAAGAGAAGGCAATGATGGATCTTTACTATTGTTACATGTTCATTTGAAATAATAGGATTACATCTCAAAATGTTAAATTCTTTTTATTGCATCAATAACTTCCAAATACCTATTGTCTTCGGCTATAAAAAAATTGTTACATTTGTGTAAGTACGCTAGTTTTGTCAGATGCAACTCTTTGTGATTTCCCGAATTTCACGAGTTGACTATGAAAAATATAATTATATTTCAATATGTACTTGACCTTTTTTTAGTGAACGTTATTCGTTTTAGAAAAGACAGTTATATCTTGAAATATAATGGACAAAAGATAGGTTAATATTATTAAAAGGGTGATATTTGTGTTTGTACCCATTTTTCTCAAAGGTAATATTATTTTTATACATTTATTTTTTGTATTTAGAGTTATAATTAAAGATATACCTATTTTTCTTAAAAGTATAACGTTAAAAGTCTTCTATTATCTTCAACGAAGAATTTAATCTAGCATTTCATGTCCCTAAAAAAGACCAATGTGAAGAGTGCTTGCGATATAGGTCTTCGTCAGAGGAAGACAAGGCATATTTACAAAAAAAAGGTTCGATAAACATTTAACAGAAAAAGACTTATCCAGAATAGATAAAGATATTGACAGAAATAGTGATGGTACAATTAAAGTCGTAGTGTATGATCTTCAAGCAGTTTTGCCTTACCAACTGGAGAAGCATCATCATTTTATTATGTTTCAAAACTGAATGTTTTTAATTTTACACTGTATGATATTAAGTCTCACGGATGTACTTGTTTTTTATGGCACGAGGGTGAAGCTTTGAGGAAGTCAAATGAAATAGGATCTTGCATTCTAAAGTTTCTTCAAAATATTTCTAATGACGAAAACTTAAATATAATCTTCTATTCTGATAATTCGGCAGGGCAAAAGAAAAACAAATTTATAATTGCCCTGTACTTAAAAAACAAGTCCAATATACGTATCTGAACAATATGGGTGCATTATTCGGACAGCTAAAAAAACTGGAAGTCCATATAAAGTACATGAAATGGGTTTTAATGACGTGCTTGATTTAAAGCTTTGTGTGCAGACTTACACCTTACTATTCCCAAAAATTTTAAAATATCTGATGTGAGGATCTTGAAATCGCAACAATCCTACTATTCTTTATTATAAATCATCTTTTAATCAAGCAGAATATGATCAAGTGGGAATTGTGCATTCTAGGCTTGAAACTAATATCAATAATACTGCTTTAAAGAAAGATTTTACAAAAAAAGTGGGAATCACTGAAGAAAAATGGACTGTTGTCTTTATTAGAAAAAAAGCGATATGTTCCTGAATACTAATTACTATTAAACTGGGAATAAGCCACAATTAAAGCCTATTCCCAGTTTAATAGTAATTAATTTACAATGCCACAAGAAAATAGCTTCAGAACAATATTCCTGAATACTATTTAACTTTTTATAAAAATTTGTAAAGAAAAACAATCGTTATTATTATTGCTTTCATATTGTGTTGTGTAATGGATACGAACTAGTTAATAGTTTTTTTATGTTTTATTAACCGTTTTTATTAAATAATATTGATCTAATAGCATTTTTAATAATACTTTACCAATACAATTTCTAAAATGTAACTTTATGAGCAAAACCAATTTCTTAAAAAGATAATATTTCTTTATTTAAGAGGGTTATATCTAAGTTTTTTTTTAACCTGGTATCTTAAAAAAATTGTCAGAGTGATTAAAAGATCAGAAATCTATCATACTCAATCATTAAATCCTATAATATCAATAAACACTGCACAATATAAATGAAATAAATTAATCGGAATTTTAAAACCTCTCTACTGAAAAAGTGAAAATTCTTAGATGTAACCCTCTTCTTCCAAATGAACGAGTGCATCAGTGAGTTGAGGACGCTTTAAAAATCAGTGTTCGTAATGTAACGAAAATAATTATTTAAACAATGTTTTTAGAAAGCCTGGAGTATCACAGACTGTATTCAAAATAAACGCTTAAGATATTATGGATAATCTAAAAGGAACAATACAATACGTGACAATTTCATTACTTAATATAGACCTAGAAGATAACCAAATTAACAGCTCTCCTAATAAAAGTTTGTGCCGAGTTTTAAAACACTGTGGATTCTAATACAAGCTTAAAATACGTCGGCTTAGTGACACAAAAATGTATCTCAAAAATGACTACTTTTCAGGAGAGCATATTTAAGGTTTTTAAAAAGATGATTTGCATTTTGTAATGACCTGTAGTTTATTCTCAACTTTTATGTTCCGAATTATTAATCTTAGGAATGTTTTCATTGCCGTAATACAATCATACGCAACAATGAATAAATTGTGTTCTCAAAATATCAACAATTAGATAAAGTAGCGGAGATACATTTTTGTGTCCCTACCTGAAAAGTCTATTGAGACTTACATGGGTACCATTTAATTTTAGAAAAGCTTAATCTTAATCCTATTAGTCATTTGTATTGGAGTGTTATCGATAAATTTTGAGAGATGAACAAACTGAGTGGCAGGTATATAAATAAAAGTACAACAGATTAAAATTTATTAATCTCTACCTGGTCCGAAAACTTAAGGTTTATCCTCGAAAATGCTAACGGTAAATTTTAGTTTGCTATCTCTATTTCAAAAATTTCTTTCTTTACGAAAACAAATCTGTCATGAAGTAATATTCTAAACTTCGTATCTCTCTCAAGCCCAGGTCAAAAATGCGTTTACCTTTTACTCGAGCCGATTATACACCGAGACAACCCTTGCAGTGACAGGTTTTGGCTTACAATAAGATCATAAATCTCTTTAGTGGTGTTTTGAGTAAATATAATAACAGATCAAAGTAATATAATCTATTCATAAATTTACAATGTAACAAATGTACATACATAATTTATTTGTTATTTTTTTTACGGCAAAATTGGCTGTCTGAAGTTAAACGTAGATTAAAGTTTACGGAAAATAAAAATTATAAAAAAAAGATTATTATTATATATCATAAAAATTTGATTAGTATCACGATCATTAAAATTGTTAAAATGAAAATATATAAATATAGAATTATGTCTAATGTTTCTTCAGAAGGTATTTCAAATAGAAATTATAATAAAAATCTTGAAATTTTTGTAGCATATTTTCCCACAGTTCCATATATTTATCAATTTTTTCTAATAAAATATTTTTTGGGGTCCATACCGCAAACTAACAGTATTATCTATTCGATATAAATAACAGAATAACTGTCCTTGCACTGGATAGTAATAGAAATCAGTTCTTTTTAAAATTTCTTGAAGCAAGGAATAATTTAATTACGCTATCATTTCCAATTTTGATTTTTGATATTGAATTTGATAGGTTGTGATTTATTACACCAAAATCTAATAAAATATACCATGACACAAGAAATAGTTTCAGAATAAGTTTGATGTGTTGTTTATTATCATTCAGTAAGAGACTAATTTACTTCTTACAATGCTAATCTAACAGACAATTATTATTGTCAAATGAAAGAAATAAGATAATTTACTTGTGTGCTTGTGGTTAGTAAACGTCGGCCCTTTGCAACTAATTGTCAATAAAGAACGGAGTACAAAAGTTTAGATTTATGAGATTTATGAGGAGCATTTACAACTAAGGATTTAATTTGTTATATGTAAATATACTCCTAGATCTAGAGAAAATGGGAGTACGACAATGGGAATTACTGGCACAGGACCGACAAACATGGAAGGCAATAGTAACCGCGGCAAAGACTTACGAAGAGTTGTAGCGCCATTGATGATAATGATGATGATGATGAAATATACTGTATAACTATTTATATGGATGTGAAATATGGATCATGAAGGATAATATGCTGGACATTTTAGGATGGACGTTGAAAAATTAAGGCAAATATCGAGCACAACTTTAATAATTAAATCTTGCAAAAGTACTTTCGCTTTCTACAGCATCATTAGGGGCATCTGAAATAGGCCAAGAAAAGTTTTTTTAAATGAAGAAAATTAATAAACTTCGATAAAAAACTCGAAGTTATTGGATGATAAAAGTTTTTTGTGATTAACATTTTAGACTTACTTTGTCAAATTTGGGCTATCCAGCAAGCGCAGATGCCCCTGGTAATGCTGTAGAAAGCGAAAGTACTTGGGCAAGATTTGATTATTAAATTTGTGCTCGAAATTTGCCTTCATTTTTTAAAGTTCATTTATTCAAGCATTCAACCTTATATCAATAATTTAGGATGTGACTCAGGTATATGATAAAGTATGGCAAAGACACCATAACTATAAACTAAGACTACAGTTACCAAAACGATACTCTCAAATAATTGACTCCTGCATCTTGGAAAGATATTTCAGAATTAAACAGGAAGAAACATACGTGGAATTGACAGATATTACAGCAGGGCTGCCACAAAGAAGTGTCTTTACCTTTTGTATACGTGTTGTATTATTGTCCTAGAAAATATACCATTGCAACATTCACCGAAGATATTGCTATCATAGCAATGTGCAAAACCAGCAAGGAAGCGACAAAGAAATTACACAGATGTTAATCAAATATATACTCCAGGGAAATAAGCAAAAAATAGACCATGTTCGTGATACTCAATAATCCAGGTCGCTGACAGCTTTTTTAGTTATTGTAGACCTCTAGGAAAAAAACCCACTTGTTTCTTGCCTTGAATCTGGAGCTGTTTTTTAATTATTGACAATTTAATGCAAAAAACGCGACTGTTTCTATGATTATTGATACTAGTATTAAAAAAATAGATTTTTGGAAGAAAATTGTTTTGCACGAATTGTTTAAACAAACTAGACTATTTATTAACTAATTAATATATAAATAAATTACTAATTCCTAATGTACGTAGAAATTACATACAAATTAAAAAAAGAATGATCAAAATCCATTGAGTAGATCCGGAGATATAGAAAATTTTATTAGTTTGAAAAATGCTTGTTCGGTATGGATTTGTAGGTTCTTCCTAGTCACCATTTGAACTACATTTTTGAAAATTCGCAGAGGGTCCTGTAAAGGTACAATGTTTGTGCAAATTTTTTAACAAAAAATACAAATCCCATTTCTTAACATGGCAAAAAATGAGGTTCCTTAATTATTATAATCAACTTAGCTGTGAATTATCATCTTTTCTTTGACTGGATCTACTACTTGTTGTAATTGGTCGTAAAACACTTCCCTTGTTATTTGAGGCTTATTATTTTCTGGGCCGTATACTCCGATAATGTTCAGGTTGTCCTTCTCCATTCTTATCTTTCATGTTACTATTCTTTCTGATATGTATTGACACTCTTTGATGTAATTTTGATACCTTTGGTGTATTAGTAAGGCTACACCTTCTTTGGCCCTGTTTTCTTTTGCTACTCCACTGTAGATTAGTATGTATTAACCTAATTTTGATTGACCTTTTCCTTTATTTTTTGTTTACTGTAGAGCACACATGTCTATTTCTTTCTCTTTCAACACTTGGGTTATTTCTTGGTCCCTTGAGTTGAGTGATCTGATATTCCAAGTAATTCTCATCTGGGTTTTGGATGTTTTTCGCTTGTCCTTATTTCTTGCCGTAGTCGTCTTCATAGTATCAATCCAGTTCCGAGACTGTACATTGTTTCTTTGAGCAGTATTTGATTTTACGATTGGTAGGTTGCTGAGCAATAAATATAAATAATTAAATTTCAGATTCAAATACTGCAAAATATTTGGTTATTACTCTGAGCTCATGTAAAGAAGAAAAGAAAATAATAATTCTGATTGAAATACAAAAAAAAATGTACTGGATGATTGACCAAAACTCTACGCTGTTTCTATATAATAAATTATTATTATATAAGCAAATACTGAAACAATTGTATTATTATAAAAACAGTATAAATATTTAGAAGGAAAATGGAAAATCAACAGAAAATATTTCTATTCATATAAAAATTTAATAAAATTATAGGTACTTACTGCTTATTTATATAAAATTTCCTATTTTAAATACAATAAACACACTGGTTTGTCAAAATTCGAAATAAGCCCTAATAATGGTATTCAACTTTATTTATCCTCCTCCGAGGGTTTTACCTACCTGGCGAGAATCCAGAAGCTACCGACAAGGACACCCTGTGCTGACGGAGAGAAAATTGCATTTAGCAGAAATTTGAAATTTTTTAAAAGTTTATATCAAATAGCTGCTTTGTGTTACACTTTATGTTAAAAATAAAAACAGATTCGGAAAGCGGGTCAAATTCTGTAGTGCCCTATTTCAAAAAAAAAAAATTTACGTTTATTTTAACCAAAAATATTTGAAAAAAAATATTATTTAAACAATTTATTAATTTACAACCAAATAGTGCACTAGAACTTTTTTAGACCTTCCATATAAAAAAAGAATCATCTCAATATTTGCCATAGTTTTTGCGTTATTTGATATAAACTTTTACATTGGAATTTACCTATGCCCAGAATCGCGAGGATCGGCCTTAACCACGCCATTTAAATACAAATGATTTTTAATAGGATTCAGACTAAGCTTTTCTAAAATGAAATGGTACCTACTTGTAATTTGTTGCTATAGCATTATAACCAATATTATAATATATAACAATTTACTAATAATAAAATAAAACTAATAATCGTAATTCATTTTATAACTTTTTATTATTCTGACGATATTTTGTTGTAGCATTAAATACTATTTAAAAGTCTCGATGGAAATAACCACAATATTATTTATTAAAAAAAGAAACTTTATAAAATGTTTAGATAACGATTTCTGAATTAGATGGAGAAACGTCAATAAAGTTTTTTTTAATAAATAGATTGTGGTTATTTCCATTGAGACGTTTATAACATTATTTAAATCATAAAATATTTTTTTTTAATAAACATAAATTTTAAAAACATTTTCAAACAATAATTTTAATTATGTTAATCACTTTGCACATCTGATTGATTGTCCATATTGTTGGTGACCAACGACTTAAATAAGAGATGATACTGGGAAGGAATAATGCCTTTATTACACAACTCTTGTTCATATCCTGATCCATTAGGTTCACTGGTAGAATATGCGAGGCACTATTTGAATGTATCACTTATGACAAGAACGGTAAATTATAAATGTGTTTAATCAGAATCGACATCAAAAAATATATTCTCACTTTGTTCATACCCTGATAAATTAGGTTCACTGGTAGAAACATGAGAGGCACTATCTGAATATGTCACTTGTTGTGATGAAAGCGCTAAATTATGACTATGCGTTTCATCATCCCGTACCGATTTGTTAAGAGCTAACAAAACTAACTTCGTCCCTCTTGAATCCATTATTGTGTAATAATAAAATTATAAAACAGTATTATAACGATAATTATAGCAATCTCTACTATAATTAACTTAAAACTGATTCACGTGTTTATAACGTCTTCACAGTTGTAACAGAACTGGAAAGGCAACGGACCACCTTGATAAATATAATAAACAAATTATAAACTGATTCACGTGTTTCACAGCTATAACAAAACTACAAATACAACAGGCCACCCTGCTAAACATAATAAAGAAATTATCAAATCCACAGTTACTACCTGCAACCACCATTCAGTGCAATAAAATTTATGCCACAAAAAGGTAACTCAATATCAGCTTATTTATAGTACGAAAACTTAGTATCACAGAAATGTAACAGCACTTACATTTCTGTGACACTAAAAGATTACTAAAAAATGTAGTTACGAAAACTCCTAATTGGGGTTTTAAGTGCCTGGAGAGATATAATTTTGTGTCACTCAATAGAGCTCACTAAGGTAAGTTCAGTGGTGTAGATATCTCAAAACGGGAAAAAATGTAGTTACATTTTTGTGTCACTAAGGCGACGAATAGTCAGTGATGGATTTGACCCTTTGTTAATGGAAATTTATTTTATCTAATATTAAAACAATGAAATCTTTTGTTTTCAAAAAATCTACAAAATTTATTTTAAATTATTATTACTACAGCTGTTTCGGCCAGAGTGCCTTTCTCGCAATTAAAGATTAGAGAATGTAAACTTATACCAAAAATAGACTAGACTATTTTAGAAATAGGGCAAGAAGCATTGAATACTGCTACTTTTGCAATTTGAGAAAAATGTAGACGGAAATCTGAAAAGGTAATAAAAGAATGTTGTATGCGTGAAAATCGCATTCCAGAAATTAATCCAGTCATCATTCAGTTAAAGATACTGACGACAGTGAATATGAATAACGATATAATTTTAAATTAGTAGGGTTTATTTTTTATTAACAAAAATTTTAAGTGTTATTGATTTTATGTTATTAGTAAATATTTACAACTACAATTTAAAATTTTTCTGCCATTTTTGCATTTATATTAATTGTATATTTCTCTAAATGAATGTAAAATACATTATCAGCTAAAACCGTATTTTTGCTTGTCTCGACAGTGCTTCAAATATTGGGAGAATTTGCTATAAATTTTCCCAGCACAGCGGAACGTTTAGGTTAAAGCTTTCATCCCTAATACATCATCATCATCCAGCCCCATTTTCACATCCATTGTTGGATATAGGCCTCCTTCAAACGTCTCCAGTTCTCTCTACTGTATCTGCTGCAATCCAGTTTGTTTCTATTCTCCTTAGGTTGTCGGTCCATCGGGTGGGTGGTCTGCCTCGACTTCGCTTGTCGGCTCTTGGTCTCCACTCCAATAATCTCTTCGTCCATATTCGGTCTTCCATTCTAGCAACATGTACAGCTCACCTCCATTTTTGTTTATTGATTCGCAGTATAATATCGTCTACGCCAGTTCGTCGGCGTATCTCCTCATTTCTCACGCGATCTTTCAAGGTCAGGCCCAGCATTGATCTCTCCATGCGCCTTTGTGTTACCTTCAGTTTTTTGACAGTAGCTTTCGTTAAAGTTAGGGTCTCTGCTTCGTAGGTCAAGACTGGTAAGATGCATTGGTTAAATGCCTTCCTTTTCAGGTGAATTGGGATATTTGTTTTAAAAATGTCTCTCATCCTTCCATATGCCGCCCATCCCAACGTGATTCTTCTACTTAGCTGGCAGATTTGGTTGTCTCTGGTTATTCTAATTTCATGATCCAAGTATGTGTATTTATCGATTAATTCTACCTTGTTTTTATTGATCTGATCCCTAAATTTATTGATTATATTCCTAATACAATATAGTCACAAATTCGTAAAATGTACTATAATATAAAGTTATAAAAAACTAAAAAACATGTAAAAATACCTACATTCTACTTGCCCCAGTACACCAATACAGCATATCAGAACACTAACCAAAATAAAGATTCTCAGATGAAACATTTCAGTCATAAAAGTATGTTCAGCATACAATTACAAAATATTTTAAAATAAATTTTAGTGATGCATTTTATATACATGTTTTTTCTTTTATTGGGAATTCTACACATTAAGCGGTTAGTCAATTTACATATTATTATTTAAAATAAGATCAGGTTTCTACATCTTGTCAAGATATAGTATAATAACTAAAACAAGATTTGTTATTGGAAAAACCCGTTCGGTGTAAACTATACCAATAATAAAACTTAGACAGGGACGGCTTGGTTACTATCGATTAATATTAAGTTCGTTACAATAACAATATTATTAACTGTTTAAAAATGTATTAAAATCTTATGCAGCGTGTCCATTTTAAAACTTATAATGGGTCATATCTCACGAACAAAAGCTGATATCGAAAAAAGCTTGAAACCATTTCTAGGATAGTAAGGGGGAAATAAAATGACATGAAAGAGAACTCACCCCCATTAACCCCCTAGGCTTCACCCACCACAACGAAAAAAGTTTAAATTGTAAACCCCTACTTGTGATACATCATTAAAAATACTATAAAAATCTTATCTGATGGTATAAATATTAATTCTAGAGGGTGAAGCAATAATTGTGAAACTTTGGCTTAAATGGAAAATTTAATGAAGTTTTTGTTATTGTTCTTCTTATGGTGCCCTATCCAATTTTAAGCCATGAGTATTTCTTTCTTCCGATGCCTTCTATCTTCCCTTCCATAATAAGCTTTAAGAACTGGTACTTGAAATTTCAAAATATATGACCCACATAAGCAGTTCTTCTTCTTTTTATTATTAGCAGCAATTCTCGTTCTCTGCCCATTCGATTTAATACTTCGACATTTTGTTGTGTGATCTGTCCAGGGAATTTTAAGTAGTCTTCTAAAAACCCACAATTCAAAGGCCTCCAATTGGTTCATCAGATATGACATTTTTCGATGTTTAACAGTCTTTAGCAGTACTCTGTCTTTGTTGACGCTCCTTGGTACTTCTTTATTAGGTTTTCTTGCTGTCCGAGGTATTTTCAGCATTCGTCTATGAAGCCACACTTTCAGTGCTTCAATTTTGTTTATGATCGATACTTTTAGAGTTCAAATTTCTGCACTATACAAAAGTACAGACCAAACATAGCACTTAATCATTCTTTGCCTTAGTTTTAAACTGAGATGGTTATTGCGAAGAAATGACTTCGTTTTCTTAAAAGTAGTTTTAGTCATTGATATTCTACGTCTTATTTCTATGTCTGGATCTAGTTGGTCCGTTATCACAGTTCCTAAATATGTCATTTTGTGAACTCTCTTAACTTGGTTTCCGTTCAATTGAAGCTTTGCATCGGGATGTGGGTGACGACTAAACACCAAAAATTTGGTTTTGTTTGAGTTTATTTTAGTGCCCATTTCCTCTCCTACCTCGTGAATACGATCAAGCAGAATTTGAAGACCTTCAATATTATCTGATAGAATTACTGTATCGTCTGCATATCTATTCACATTAAGTAGTTCCCCGTTGATTTTTATTCCATATGGTTGTCTCTCAAGTGCCTTTTTAAATAACTGGTCCGAGAAAACATTGAACAATGTTGGCGACAAAATGCATCCTTGTCTGACTCCTCGTTGTATGGGGATTTCATCGGTGTAGTTATCTCCAATTTTTACGATAGCAGTTTGATTCCAGTACAAATTTTTAATGACACGAATATCCTTGTCATCCATTCCTATATTTTTCAGTATTTGCATTAACTTTACATGCTGTACTTTATCGAATGTCTTTTCGAAGTCCACAAAACATGCAAATACATCTTTTCTTTGGTCACGGTATTTTTGTAATAGGATGTTAAGCGCAAATAGTGCCTCCCTGGCTCCCATAGCATTTCTAAAACCAAATTGGGTATCTTTTAGATATTAGGTGTTTTTTAGGTACTGCGATAAAAATGGATTTGGGCCAATCTGCGGGAATCACTCCGGTGTTATATATTAAATTGAAAAGTCTTACTACTACTTTTATGTTATCATTCTCTATCAGTTTCAGCAACTCAGTTAGTATTATATTATTTGGACCACAAGCTTTTTTAATTTTAGCATTATTTTAGCCGACGTGTACGTCGGCGAATTACGTAAAAAAGTTTAGAGAAACGGGATCAGTACAAAATAAAAAAAAGGGATGCCCCAAGATTACTGAATGAAGCATCCTAATTGAGGTCCTTGGAAATTTTGCAATAGATCCTACTGCATCAATACACCAAGTATCTAAGATGACAGGCCTTTCGCATGAGTCAGTTAGAAAGGTGTTAAAATTACAAAAGTTTCACCAGTATAAAACACAAATTGTTCAAGAACTAGGTGATGATGATCTAGACCGACGAATTGAGTTTTGTGAACTCATGACTGAAAGAATTCGCCTTGAGCCGAGAATGTTAAAAAAAATGTTTTGCTGATGAATGTACTTTTATGCTACATGGTAATGTAAATAAACCAATCAGTCGGTACTGGAGTGATGCGAACCCGCATCGATTCAAAAAAGGTCACCTCAATACCCTGAAAAACTAAATGTTTGGACAGGAATATTAGGCGATGCTATAATTGGCCTCTTGTTCATACCAGACAATTTAAGTGGCGACATATATATCGATATACTAGAAAGCACCATCGAACCTTTAATTATGCATGAATTAAAAAACCAAAGGGACGATCACCTCCTCACTATGCAGCTTAGATAGGCACTGATTGGATACTAATTATCCGAACAAATGGATTGAAAGAAGAGGTTCTATTGAGTGGCTACCGAGGTCACCAGACTTACCGCCACCTGACTTTTTTAAAAATAGGCAAAATGTATTATTGTTTACAAAACAATGGAACCCACTTTAAACATTTATTTAATTGACATTTTGAACTAACTTGTAGTTTAACAAAAACCTCATTAAAATTTCCATTTAAGCCAAAGTTTCACAACTATTGCGTCATCTAGTAAAAATATTATTGATACCTTTGGATGGCATTTTTTATAGTCTTTTCAATAATGTATCATAAGTAGGATGCAATTTAAACTTTTTTGGTTGTGGTAGGTAAGGCCAAGGAGGTTAATGGGGGTGAGTTCTCTTTCATGTCATTTTAGTTCCCCCTTACTATCCTAGGAACGGTTTTAAGCATTTTTCAATATCAGCATCTGTTCGTCAGATATAGCCCATTGTAAGTTTTAAAATTGACACACTGCTGCCAACAACATGCATATGCGTACTGTACAGTTTTTTTAACGAATATGACAGTTTTAAAAATTATTGTTTCCTGCGAGAATATTATCATCGAGTATCATTCTAAGGGAATACTGAGTGTGAGTTTATGTTCCATTGTTATATTAACTTGTTATATAACTTTACAATTTTAGTTATACTGGGACTAGGTTCATAGACATATAATAAAAATAGACTGGGCGGTGCATTACAGTGCCGTTTCCTCAGTGCGATAGAGAAAACTGACGTAAAAAACCCTGCATCTGCCAGGTTTATCGACTACGTGTTCGAAGAATGAAAATAGACCTACTGGGAATCAGCGAAATGAGATGGCCAGAGGCAGGATCATGTAAAAAGGACGGAAGTGTGTTATATTATTCCGGTAACAGCACAGAAGACCCGCATCACAAAAATGGTGTAGGTATATTAGTAACATCAGAACTGAGTAAATATGTGACCAATTCCGTACCAGTCTCGGATAGAATAATATTACTCCAAATAAATACTCAACCATTTAAAACTTACATACTTCAAATCTATGCCCCGACTACAGATAAAAAATATGACAATGAAGTCGAGAAGTTATATGATCAGATCCAAGACATCTTACAGAAACTTAATAAACACGAAATTTTATATATTATAGGCGACGTTAATGCAAAAATTGAGGAAGGTCGACGAGGTCAGACTGTAGGTCCTTATGGTTTAGGACAACCTAACGAGTGAGGACAAAGATTGTATGAATTCTGAAAAGAAAACGATATGATAATTGCAAACACCTGGTATAAACTACCAAGCGACGACTATGCACCTGGAAAGCTCTATTTGATGATGGCAATAACCCTGAGTCTTTAAGAAATCGAGTAGACAATATACTTGTAAATGAGCGTTTCCGAAATGACGTCAAAAACGTCACTACATATCTGGGGCAGATATTGGATCTGATCATCAACCACTCGTAGCAGATATTAAACTAAGGTTAAAACGAATTCAGCAACAAAAACCAAAAACCAATGTACTTAACTTTGACGATGTAAACATAAAACATAACATTAAAAAATAATTTAATAATAAAATAAAAACATCGGAGAACAACTTGAAGATCCAGAAGAACTATGGAGTGAATTTAAAAACCAAGTTAACGAAATCTGCACAAACAATGATTATAGAAAAAACTTAATCAAGAAAAATAACTGGATTATAGACGACATCTTGAAATTAATGGAACTACGTCGACTGATAAACTCTAAGTAATAGAATATAGACACCTGCAGAGAAGAATAAAAAAGGAGATCAAATTAGCCAAAGAAAAATGGATGGGAGAAAGGTGCGACGAAATGGAGGATGTAATATCCAAACACGACTTATTTATTGTGAACAAAAAACTGAAAGAAATGAGTAATATATTTAAAAAATGGGTTCCCCTGTACTTAATGACACTAATAACAAAATTATTGTAAATGAGCAAGTAATAAGAAGGGAATGGCAGCTGTATAATATATCAGAGTTTTTTGAAGATGACAGGAATAATATTGCCGAATTTTACCAAAACTGTACTGACGCCCCAGAAATTATTAAATGCGATGTAGAACATGCTATAAATAATGCTAAAATTAGAAAAGCTTTTGGTCCAGATGATACACCAACTGAGTTGCTAAAACTAATAGAGAATGATAACATAAAAGTAGTAGTAATACTTTTTCATTCAATATATAACACCGGAGTATTTCCCGCAGATTGACTCAAATCCATCTTTATAGCAATACCTAAAAAACACAATGCGAGAAAATGCTCAGAGTATCAATTATTTCCTTAACTTGTTCTATTTCATCTTGTCCGATTCTCACATTCTCACTGTTCAAGTTAAGGATTTATATATATATATATATATATATATATATATATTTATATATATATATATATATATATATATATTATATATATATATATATATATATATATATATAATATATATATATATATATATATATATATATATATATATATATATATATATATATATATATATAATATATATATTATATATATATTATATATATATATATATATATATATATATATAAATATATGTATATATATATATATACATATATTTATATATATATATATATATATATATATATATATATATTTATATATATATATATATATATATATATATATATATATATATCTATATATCTTGGTCAAACTATAAAACTTAACAAAAAGAACCAAACAGCAGAGAATTTCAGAGACGAGTTAGACTGGCATGGGCAGCATTTGGCAAACTAAGCTACATTCTTAAAAACAAAAGATATCCACAGCATCTTCAGACCAAAGTATATAATCAATGCGTACTCCCTGTTCTTACTTATGGTTCCCAAATGTCGACATCTACAAAAGCAAACATGGACAAAATCATAAAAACCCAAAGAGGAATGGAATTGCACATAAGACTAATGGATAAGAAGAGAAACGAGTGGATAAGAGAGAAAACAAAAGTGAGGGACGTTAGACAAGAAGTTGCAAAATTGAAATGGAGATTTGCCGGACACAATATACGACAAAAAGAAGACCGATGGAACAAAATTCTTTCGAAATTTTTTTAAAACTTGGAGACCGTGGGAATATAAACGAAGCAGAGGAAGCCCCCAAATGAGGTGAAATTTTCCTCAGAATACTTCACAACAGAATTATACGCAAATGCGAGGAAGATCTTGAAGATACTCAATTTGGATTTAGAAATGCTATAGGAACCTGGGAGACACTATTTTTGCTTAACATTGTATTGCAAAAATGCTGTGACCAAAAAAAGATATATTTGCATGTTTTGTGGACTTCGAAAAGGCATTCGATAAAGTACAACATGTAAAGTTATTGCAAATACTGAAAAATATCGTAATAGATGACAAGGATATTGGTGTCATTAAAAATTTTTACTGGAATCAAACTGCTATTGTAAAATTTGGAGATAACTACAACAATGAAATCCCCATACAACGAGGAGTCAGATAGGGTTGCATTTTGTCGTCAACATTGTTCAATGTTTACTCAGACCAGTTATTTAAAAAGGCACTTGAGAGACAACCATATGGAATAAAAATCAACGGAGAACTACTTAATGTGATTAGATATGCAGACGATACAGTAATTTTATCAGATAATATTAAAGGTCTTCAAATTCTGCTTAATCGTATTCACGAGGTAGGAGAGGAAATAGGCATTAAAATAAACTCAAACAAAACCAAATTTTTAGTGTTTAGTCCCACATCCCGATACAAAGCTTCAATAGAACGTCCTAGTTGAGAAAGTTCACAAAATGACATATTTAGGAACTGTGATAACGGACCAACTAGATCCAGACATAGAAATAAAACGTTAAATAGTACTAATAGAATTTAGAATTACTAAAACTACTTTTATGAAAGTGTAGTAATTTTTTTGCAATAGCTATCTCAGTTTAGAACTAAGGCAAATAATGGTTAAGTGCTATGTTTGGTATGAACTTTTGTATAGTGCAGAAGTGTGGACACTAAAAGTATCGATCATGAACAAAATTGAAGCATTGTAAATGTGGGTTCATAGAGGAATGCTAAAGATACCTTGGACAGCAAGAAAAACTAATAAAGAAATATTAAGGAGCGTCAACAAAGAGAGAGAACTGCTAAAGATTGTTAAACATCGAAAAATGTCTTATCTGGGACATATAGTAAGGAGAAGTCGATATAAAATTTTACAACTGATCCTTAAAGGCAAAATAGAGGGCCGTAGAGGTGTAGGAAGAAAACAAGTTTCTTGGTTAAAAAACATTCGTGAATGGACTCAGATACCAAATGCAGGACAATTATTCCATATTGCAGAAGATCGAGAAGCCTTCGCAATGGTGATCGCCAACGTCGAATAATTCTGATATGCGAAGAAGAAGAAGATCGACCACGTGACCTAAACGACTAGTGGGAAGGTCACGTGGTCGATTAACCGGGCCCAATAAAAAAAAATGCAGCAAGGGCTTTGCCTCAGTTGTCTCTAGCGCACTGGGGGAAGCGGCTATATTGCAGCAGTCAGTCTGTTTGTTATTATATCTCTATGACTAGGTTAGATAAGATTATAATAGGTTATGTTAGGTTACATTACGCTTTATTTTGTTATTAAATAGTTATAATGAGTCTTACGAAAATACTAAATGCTTTCTTGTGTCCGTGGAAACAACATTGAAGGACAACAAACATCAATTAAAGAACTCGAGGTAATAAAAAGGGTAAGCCACAATTTTTGAAATTTGAAGATTTAATGAAACGGGCTCTGTATAAATGATCCTAAGCCACCAGACAAATTTTACGGCTATTGGGAAATATCGCCGCGAGATTATATCGACCTTGCTGCCGACTTGAAAAATCATAAAAAATTTTTAAACAAGAACCTTTTAAGCCAAAATAAAATCATCATATGGACGCTTGATAGAAGAATATTGAAAGAAAAACAGGGATTTCATAAGAAAAAAAAGTATCAGAACAAAAATGGAGTATTTGGAACGGTCATATAAATATTGAGTTACTACCAATAAAATAATATTTTTGGAAGGTGAAATAATTATAAAAAATGCGAATTTTAAGTACCTAGGATCGGTACCTAGAATGGGAGAAATAAATAAAGATGTATAAAGTAAAATTATAGCTGTATATATGAAGAATAAGAAAGCGACGTGAGGGGGCGTGTCGTCGTTCGCAGCTTTTCTTTTTTCACATTTTGCAGGAAGGGTGTTTGTGAATTTTAATATTTTTTCCTATGTTTTGTTACTTTTTAGTCCTCCTTCTATCCGATTAAAATTATTTGGATGCTTATATATTTCCACCGCTTCCCGATATAAACGTGGGTAGTACTATGATGTTTTATCCAGCATGTGCGTTTCTTCAAAGAGTATCCGATGTTCACAGCTTCCCAAAGCGTATTCGACAACGGCAGATTTGTCGATATGTTCTAAACGGTAATGGCTTTTATGTTCGTTTATCCTTGTGTTTGTGTGTCTTTTCGTGGTTTCCACATATACCATTTCACATGTATATAGTATTCGGTATAATCCGGCCGTTGCTAATGGGTCGCGTTTGTCCTTCATCGATCTTAAACAGTCCTTAATTTTCTTTGTAGGCTTGAAAATGGTCTTTACATTGCCTTTAAGTATTCGTTCAACTCTGTCTCTTACCCCCGATATATAGGGCGATAATGCTTTGCCTACACATACTGTTTCTTCATCCTTTGTTCTAAAAACGTTGTTAATGGTTTTATCTATTTCTCTTCTGGTATAACCGTTAGAGGTTAGCGCTTTTACAATATGATAAAGTTCACATTGCAGATGCTGTGGTTCACGAATTCTCTTCGCCCTCTCCGCCAGAGTGTTGATGATACCTTGTTTTTGACCTGGATGATGATTTGAGTTTCTGTTTAGGTATCTGTTTATGTGTGTGAATTTTTGATACACTTTATGTCCTAAGTAACTTTCCTTTCGATTTACTAATACATCTAGGAAAGCTAGTTGTTGATCTTTCTCTGTTTCCATCGTAAATTGAATACTTGGATATAATCTGTTTATATAAGACAGGAAATCGTTCTCTACTATGGAACTTTGAATTACAAAAGTGTCATCGACGTATCTAAACCGTACCTTTGGCTTGTATGCTAACTCCATCACCCTCTTCTCTAGATGCTCCATGAAAAGGTTGGCTACGACTGGACTTAGTGGGCTTCGCATTGCTACTCCATCTACCTGTTCATAAACCTGGTCTTCCCATGAAAAGAAGGTTGGTCAGGTTTAATGTCAAGACGTAGATCACCTAACACGAAAAATCGCTGCCTTGTACGTTGCTGGAAGGAGTAGGAGAGAAAGATTAAAGAAAACCTGGAGAAGACGTTTCTACATGACATGTCGGTAAAATGGATAGATATTGGTATGATCCAATATAAAAACTGATAATACAAGTAGGGCATAGGAATAAGGGTTAAGCGAATGATGATAATGAAGAACAAGGTATAGTCTTTTAAATAACCAAATATGTATACATAGGTATTATTATAAACATTATTTTAACCAATAATATGTATTTGATTATATTTTAAAGGTATTTCTATTTTATTTTAGTGTACATTATGGTGTTTGTTGTATTTTTTTATGCAGTCTGGGTATATCATTTATGTGTATTTTAGACAATATGTTATATAAAACTATTCAATAAATGTTATCCAAACAAAAAAAAAAGAGACAATATACTAAGATAAAAAATTTATTAAACAAATACGTTTTACAAATATTTTAATACTAGTTTATGCAATAACACTATGGCCACACTGTATCCTCAATCCATTGGATATAATTATACACTTTGGTATATACGTTAATTCCATTTTCACCACTTTCACATTCTGTATCGTCCACTTTGATTCCTACGATGTCGTGCATGCATTTAATACTATCTGTATCAGGGCGAAACTGATGAAGTGGCCCGCCGATATCGATCTGCAATAGATTAATATTATAGAATATGTTAGAAAAGAAAGTCTAACAATATATAGAATAATTTAAAAAAATGAGACTTAATATTTCATATAGCCTGATCCAGAACTGAAATCAAGCCTGAATCTTGAAAACTAAATATGTACTTCAAATCTTAAGATTTTAGACTGTATTCTTCAAAATTATTACTAATTTATCCATAATCATTTACAGGGAAAAAACTCTCTCTGATATTAAAAACAATAAATCACCTGGAGAAGATGGAGTAGTCATAAAACAATTTAAAGGAGAAAAAATATTTGTTTCTTCATTCAAATTAAAAGAAAACGTGAAATCAGAGAATCAATAGAAACAGAAAAAAATCCCAACAGTCTAAACCAAAGAGATGACGCTCAAGTGCTTCCAACAACATGGAAAACGGTATTTAAAAAAAGTAAAAATACATCAGACTACAAGACCGACTAGTAGGAACACCCGCTTACCTACACACGAACAGGATTAATCACAAGAAGCCTTGGGGCAATAAAAAGTAAACGCATGCATCGACCAGGAGAGACAGTTGACTTCAAGCACTAGCAAGAAGCGCTACTATCTGACTTGATAATGGCAAGCGCGACCTTACCAAAACGTCGTCAAAATAATGATTTTTATCAAAACCAAATGAAAATTATTATTAAGTAGGTTAGTTGTTAATCGATATATCACTCAAGTTAGTTATCTGTGATGTTGTATTGTTTTTGGTATCTGATTTAAGTAAGAAATGGATGTATCGCTTAGTTTGATGGAGAAATCGTCAAGGAAAATATAAGACATTTCAATAAACTCTCATTTAGATTTATTGTTCTCACGGTGGAGAATTGTGGTGTTAGTATAGTCCATGAGACGACCAGTGGAATGGACATGTTTGGCTAATGCACAGCGGTCAGGGTGAAGTCGAGAATCACTTTTGTGTAGTGAAATACGTGATTTCAATAATTAAGATGTTTGGCCGATGTAGGAATTGCTGCAATAGAGGCATGGAATGTTGTAAACAATGTTACTAAGCCTATCTATGGGAGTCTTGTCTTTTAACTTAGAATAAAGATTATTAATTTTTAGGGCTGATCTACAAGCCACATTAAGTTTAATATTATTATTATTACCAAAGATTCTGAAAAGTGTTGAAAATAGCTTTAGTAATAATAATAACAACATTAAACTTAATGTGGCTTGTAGATCAGTCCTAACAATTAATAATCTTTATTCTAAGATAAAAGATAAGCCACAGATAGGCTTATTAACATTGTCTACAACATTCAATGCCTATATATATATATATATATATATATATATATATATATATATATATATATATATATATATATATATATATCGGAAAAAGGAGTATATATATAAGGATCACTCAGACTAGTGGTGGGTTCTTATATCGGTCTCTAGGTGGAGAAATAAAAGACAAAGTTGATAGGCTACTTTATCTATTTTAAAGACGTTTCGCTTTCGAGTTTTGAAAGCATCATCAGTTCATCTAAAAAGTACAATATGAGAACCACACAATCATGGAAATGATGTTAATTGTTACCTTAAAAAGACATGTAGCAGTCAAAGTTATTAACAATAATGTGAATGAAACTTAGGTAAATGGACATAATACGCTGATCTTGTATAAACAATTAAGTAACTAACAACATATATGAACTTATAAAAATTAGCACAGCAAATGACCATGTGGTCTAAAGTAAATTAAATGTTATTTAATATTAATTAGTGAGAAAGAACCAAGAAAATCATAGACAACTTCCAACTATTTTATGATTATTAAGCTTTGATTTTAATTTTAGGTAGCATTATAAGTGATATTAATAAAAATTATAAAAGTAGTGTAAATGAAGTTACCGATCAAAGCCCTACAGTTGTCGCCGGAAAAATGGCGTTAGATGAACCGGAACGAACTAAACCGCGAAAAGACAGCCAACCTTGAGGTCAAAATACTTTTGACAGATCAGCAAGGTGGAGGTACCAACCCAAATAATTGGGCGGTCAATTTAAAAGTTTAAATGAGTTTGGATGACTACCCGGTTGCAAAAGATAAACCAGTGAAAGAAATTGGTATTGTAATAGCAACTCCTCTCATTAATCAGTCTAGATTTACAAACAGGAGATTTTCATTCAACCTCATATATAAGTAATAGCGTTAATCATTATGGCTAGATAATCAGCCACAGGTGGTTAACGACACATTAACTTCCAACAGCCCAAGGTTCATGTACTTGGAACTGTAATTTGCAAAGGATTCTATGAATCAATTACATTATTTGTATTATTTTATTTAAGTATAAATTGTTCACACTAATCTAAGTAGTCAGTGTATGAAAATGCAATGTAAGTTGCATATGTAATAATAAGTTAAGTAAAGAAAATTTAATTATTTAATTTAATTACTTTATGTATTTTATTTCTATTTTGTGTATTTAACTTATTTCATGAAAAATGGAAAAAAGGTTCAAGTAGTACACCTAATATGATATTTAATATAGTGAAAAGATCATGAAGAATAATTCTGCAAAATTAAATCATGATATATTTGGCTCAAGTTACTTATGTCAGTTCTCTTATTTAAAGCATTAGGGTGTTTTAGTATTGAACACATTTCCAAAAACTGTCTTTTAGCTAGATTGCGTTCAGTGGCAAGGATCTTAACTTCATTGAAATCCACTTCATGTTTGGTATTATCGCGTGTTGCGCCTGGGCACAAGTATGTTTTGATAAATTAATGTCACTACGATGTGAAGTGAGACGACCTTTTAATGATCTACCAGTCTGACCAATGTAACATAAATCGCAATTAGCGCATGGAATTTTATAAATTGTGTTAACTTGTTCCAAAGTGGACAAGGGTGTTTTAGTTTTAGAGAACAAATTTCTAACAGTTTTAGCATTCTTAACAGCAATTTTAACGGTATGTTATTCTGTTTATACAATTTAATAAGCTTCTCAGTAACTTGAGGGAAATAAGGTAAAGAAGAATAATGGGTGGTAGGATTCTCAAGATCAGTATTATGCAGAACAATGCTATTTATTGAATTATTTGAGATGTTTCTAAGTTGGTCACCATCGGGTATGTCATAAATTGAGGATCCATAGCTGTGTGAATGAAGGTATTTATTAATGATAGAGGAAGGATATGAATTCTTTATTAGAATATTTCTCAATAACTTAAAGAATTCCCTTCGATTAATTGGATGTGTCAATTTATTTAATCTGTAGCTCAAAGCTTTTATAAGGTTTAATTTATATTTCATGGGATGACAGGAATGGTAATTAAGGAACCTATTAGAGGCCATTGGTTTTCTATACCAACTTGTGGTTAGGGTGTTGTCTCCCATTCTAATGACACGCATGTCTAAGAAGGGTATACTATTGGTGGTAGTGTCCTCAAGTTCAACAGTGAACTGTAAATGAGGATCAAACTCATTAAAGAAGGATAAGGTACCCTGAACCTTGTCAGGTGGTAGGGCTAATAATAAATCATCCACATACCTTTTAATAAAAGGGATTTGAAAATCCAAAAGACCTAAACGGTCAGAAACCAAATCATCCAATACAAAGTTAACTAGGATGGGAGAGATTGAGGAACCCATAGGTGTACCAAATGTTTGAAGGTAAAATTTGTCATACCTTCAAATATTTGGTACACCTATGGGTTCTTCAATCTCTCCCATCCTAGTTAACTTTGTATTGGATGATTTGGTGTCTGACCGTTTAGGTCTTTTGGATTTTCAAATCCCTTTTATTAAAATGTATGTGGATGATTTATTATTAGCCCTACCACCTGACAAGGTTCAGGGTACCTTATCCCTCTTTAATGAGTTTGATCCTCATTTACAGTTCACTGTTGAACTTGAGGACACTACCACCAATAGTATACCCTTCTTAGACATGCGTGTCATTAGAATGGGAGACAACACCCTAACCACAAGTTGGTATAGAAAACCAATGGCCTCTAATAGGTTCCTTAATTACCATTCCTGTCATCCCATGAAATATAAATTAAACCTTATAAAAGCTTTGAGCTACAGATTAAATAAATTGACACATCCAATTAATCGAAGGGAATCCTTTAAGTTATTGAGAAATATTCTAATAAAGAATTCATATCCTTCTTCTATCATTAATAAATACCTTCATTCACACAGCTATGGATCCTCAATTGATGACATACCCGATGGTGACCAACTTATAAATATCTCAAATAATTCAATAAATAGCATTGTTCTGCATAATACTGATCTTGAGAATCCTACCACCCATTATTCTTCTTTACCTTATTTCCCTTAAATTACTTAGAAGCTTATTAAATTATATAAACAGAATAAAATACCGGTTAAAATTGCTGTTAAGAATGCTAAAACTGTTAGAAATTTGTTCTCTAAAACTAAAACACCCTTGTCCACTTTGGAACAAGTTAACACAATTTATACAATTCCATGCGCTAATTGCGATTTATGTTACATTGATCAGACCGGTAGATCATTAAAAGGTCGTCTCACTTCACATCGTAGTGACATTAATTTATCAAAACACACTTGTGCCCTGGCACAACACGCGATAAATACCAAACATGAAGTAGATTTCAATGAAGTTAAGATACTTGCCACTGAACGCAATCTAGCTAAAAGACAGTTTTTGGAAATGTGTTCAATACTAAAACACCCTAATGCTTTAAATAAGAGAACTGACATAAGTAAGTTGAGCCAAATATATCATGTTTTAATTTTGCAGAATTAGGCTTCATGATCTTTTCACTATATTAAATGTCATATTAGGTGTACTACTTGAACCTTTTTTCCATTTTTCATGAAATAATTTAAATACATAAAATAGAAATAAAATAATTAAATTAAATAATTAAATATTCTTTACTTAACTTATTATTACATATGCAACTTACATTGCATTTTCATATACTGATTACTTAGATTAGTGTGAACAATTTATACTTAATAAAATAATACAAATAATGTAATTGATTCATAGAATCCTTTGCAAATTACAGATATATAGACATATATATATATATATATATATATATATATATATATATATATATATATATATATATAGAGAGAGAGAGAGAGAGAGAGAGAGAGAGAGAAAGAGAGAGAGAGAAAGAGAAGGAAGCAATTGGTATAGAAGAATAATAAATCTTTAATGTGGAAACAGCACTGCATTTATATATAAAACAAAATAGGAGGTTCACAGTACAGTACATACATGAGCGGAAACCAATACTTATAGGGAAATGACCTTGTATACAAAATCTATGCTTCTGCAAGCTATCTAGTCTATGATTCTGCAAGCTGGGTTAGGACTGCTTTACAGCTGATTAAGTCGACGATTTATTGAAAACACCGTGTCTGATTTTCACTCCAAATAAACAACGGTGTATCCTTGGGAACGAAATGCAAATACTGATGCCTCTATACCAGAATATCGGGCAGTTCCATCATGGTCTACTTTAATTCTCCTAGCAGGAACGTTTCCAAATAAGATTACTTTACGGGTGCAAGATTTTCAGGGTGGTTTAAAAGTAAACATTAAAAAAACATTTTTTATTTCAGTCATAAGTAGAGGAGAGTCAATTTGAAAAAAAAAGAATTTTTCCCCTTAGTTTTTAATCTAACAGAATTATTGACTTTCCATAAGGGGTAGTTAATGAATAAAAAATTACTAAGGTGGTAATAATTTCATAAAAACCCAGAAGACCACTGTGGTATATCATAAATATTTTTTTTGGAATTCTGCTAGTTTTAATCGTAAGCCAGGAAAATCGTTACCCTTAAGGGGGATTTGGCAGTAAAAAATTATTAGGGTGGTAATTAATTAGTGAAAAATGGGTGAAAAAATATGCCATCGGCAAAACGTTTTTTCCCCTAATTCTGCTAGCTTGAACCTTAATCCAGCAGAATCGCTCCCCTTAAGGTGGGTTTGGTGGTGAAAAATTATTAGGGTGGTAATAAAGTAGTGAAAATGATTGGTTGGATATTAAAATACGAGGCGAAGAGGAAAGTTAAAAAATAGTAGAAAAAATATGTTAGTGGTCATACATGGTCAACAGTGGTCGTATGTTAATCAGTAAAATGTTTTAAAAATAGTTACTATTTTCTAAGTGATTGTAAAAAAGAGTTTATGTATTATAAGTATAAGATGGCAACATTACTGTACATTAAAGTTAGTCATTGATAGCCATATTTCTCATTAACAACATTAACAATAACAGAAATAACTATTATACGAAGTCAATGTTGAACTACTTACACTGCAAATATCTCCATAGTAACCTTTAGCAGCTGCGTTCGTACAGATTAAGTTGTTTTTGTTACCACTACTAAAATTATGATTAGCAATATAGCTATCATTGCATTTATCTTCCGATAGCGGTTGTACGTATACTCTTTTTAAATCTTGACCATCTTTATTGGCAAATTCTGCAAGCTTCCAACCTGCTGTTACGAATCGATGCTGAGGACTGTCATTTTTAGTATACAGACAAGCTGGACGTATAAAGCCGTTGAATTTAAAATTTGTTTTGACTTTTATTAACACCAAACTTTGGTTTTTCATCGTTGAATAGTTGGGGGGTAATATTATTTCAGAGATTTCTTTGACTTGCAAAATAAGATCATTTTCTTTTTCGGATGCTCTAACGAACTTGGCATCTCCCCTGAAAAATACAATTTAAAAATGATAATAATTGGACTTTTAAAATATCTAAAACAAACTTTCTTTTTTCTTTATATAATATTGTCATATCGTCAACCAAGGCTACAATTTACAAACACATTAATTTGGATTTAGTGCTAAACCATCTTTCACTCATAAAATACTTACTTTGTCATATCTTTTATGCAACGTGCTGCTGTTAGAATATAATTTTCACTGATAAGTGATCCTGCACATCCCCATTTTATATCAGAATCTGAGCCATATCCAATTTCTACCTAAAAATTCATAAATAAAATTTGAATATGACAACAGTGGACTCAACGAGACTCCTTGTTACCATATTGATTTTTAGGACAACATTTTTGTGATTTATTTATATTAATTTATTTAGCTATAATAATACTGCTAATGAAAGCAATAATAGAAACCGTGTGATTGCGGTTCAAGGCTAATTGCAAAATCTCATATAAATATATCCAATTATTGTTTATTAACAAAGAACAAGAACCAAAACGAAGAATATGTCAATATAAAAAGCTGTGACAAATTTGACAGGCCATGTTTTTTTACTTTCTAAATCATTATATTATAGAAATAATTATAGTAAGGTCGGTCAGATAGCTCAGCGGGCTGTGCGGCTACCTCTCATTCGCTTCACTATCGAATGGTTCAGTGGATATGGGATCAAGCCCCAGCTCGGTGTACAGAAAACAAAAAGTCTAACGCAGCAATTTAAAATTCTAGATGAATCTGCGGCTTAGACTAGGATATGCTGGGATCTGATCGGCCTATGGTGGAGCAGTACCGCAAGAGATAAGGGCTTGCGGTTCGGTGATACTCCTCCATAGATCCCTACCGGACGGGAGTAAAGTCTAAAAAAACCGGATATATATATTATAGTAAGTATATATCATATACGGTAATTATACTATATACGATAAAAAATATTATCTACTAGTATTTAAGACTCCATCTTCTTCATAACTTTTAATCCAGAGTTATCTGCAATTATTGTGATTTTTGACCTATTTAAAAATATACTAAATGCTGCTAGATTTGCGATAATTTTTTTAGCAGAATATTCTTCTTCTTCGCGTGCCATCTCCTCTAAGAAGGTTGGCAACCATCATGACAATGCGCACTTTCGACGCCGCTGCTTTAAACAGGTCAGCAGAAGTGCAGTTAAATCAAGCTCTCAAATTATTTAACAGGAGATGCGTCTTCTTCCGCGACTCCTTCTACCCTGTATTCTTCTTTGCAATATTAATAATTGCAACAAGTTATAACGCTCGCCCCGAATAACATGTCCCAGATATTGCAGTTTTCTGACTTAATAAGATTTAAGACCTCTTTATCTTTTCCCAAGCAGACATTTTAGAAAAATAGAGAAATGTTTTATTTATGAGAATAATATGTGACTATTTTTATTTTTTAGTGGCTTCTCAACGCCTTATAACGCCATGAGACAACTAAAACCATTTAAACCATATGCTTTTTACTATATCTATATAATATATTCCAGTTCAGTACATAGGTCACAGTGTTTGAACTGTCGCTGTGGAGGCATTTGTCGACTTTTGCTATACTGAGCCTATGAAGGCAACCCCAAAAGTAATCATCATCTGAAAGCAACTTTATTAGATAATTATTACGTCTGTGCTAACAGTCTATCAATATTTCTGTGGACACATTACTACTTGGTCTACTGTGTCACATCCAATGTTGCATCTTCTTTAACTTTTCTCATCGCAATGTGCATGTACCTCTTGTAACGTCAACATAGCCGTTCTCTTTTAAGCACCCCAACATGCAATACAACACAACCGGATATCATCCATAGGCTCGCAGCTAATACGGACCAGTATGTACATGTAGCGGAGCAATTCTGCTTACGCTCACCACAAGCCTCTTATAAGCCGGCAGTTTTACCACCATTCACCAATCTTTGATCATGTAAAAAAATATAGATTGTACATCAAATTCTTTTCTCTTGTATTTTTTTATGCCCTCTAAGCTTTAGTATTACCTGCAGCAATTTCCAAATTATTATCATTTACCCTATCCCAAATGTATATAATCTGGTTATACCGAAGTTATAACTTTCTACACTTTATAATACAAGGCCTAGACCAAGGAAAAACATTCTGGCTCCGAAATCTCCAATAGTGGTATCCAGAAACATTCGCTAACCTATTTCGAGTTAAATATGATTGCAAATGTTCGATAATCTGACAGAGTACTAAAAGAAGAAAATCCAATCCCAAAGAAAACATCTTGCCCTGTGTGTTAAATGCATGAGTTTGTACTTATCCTACGTAAGCAAGCATATTGAGATAGTCTGCAAATTCTAAATAGGTTATATCGTCCCCAAAATCACGATTCATTACTCCGTCATACGCCAGGTTTCACAGCGTCGGATAAAGTGACCTCTTAGATATCCTAGCCGATACATCATATTATTAATATACTTAAGGCATTGCCTTTTTCTCAACGAACCGATCAAGTAGCACGATATGAATGTATTAAGAGGGATGTATTAAGAGGATTAAGAGGGACTCGAATATTTATTTTACTGATGCTTGAAAAAGATAAATCTGCCTTTCATGGGCGGCTTGGATAGCAAAGCTGACCGCGAAGTTATTAAAGACTTCAAAAACACTTGTATGCAAAGAAAAGTGTTCAAAGGGTCCCAAAATCATGTCGTCTTTTTATGTTTCATGTTCTTAATCACCCCAAATGTTACCCATATTGTATCGAAAACCTTGCATGATATACCACCACAACAACCTGGACCAATTCAATGTGAAAAAAGAGTACACTCGTCGCAATATAAGCCTAATCTAAAGACAACATAAACTAATCTAATCTAATCGAAGAGAAAATCTACCATAAATCTATCTATCTATCTGTCTATAGCCCAAAATCTATTCATGTGTTAAATATAGGTCTCTCCAATTTGTCTTCATTTGTTTCTGTGTTCTGTGTGTCTTTTCCACATTGGATCTGCTCTTTGCTCAATGTCATCTTTCCATCTCATTTGCAGTCGACCTCTTGACCTTTTTGCAGTATATGGTCTCCAGCGGCCAATTTCTTTATTCCATCTTCCATCCTGATATCTTTCGTTATGCCCAGCTCATTTCCATTTTAATTTCAATACATGTTCGACAGCGTCTGTTGTAGCGGTTTTGCATCTTATCCCCTCGTTTTTCTTTTTATCTCTTAACGATATTCCCAACATTTGTCTTTCCATAGCTCTTTGAGTTTTCTTTATTCTATCTAAGTTGCTCTTGGTAAACGTCCACATCTGGGCACCATATGTCAGAACAGGTAGGATGGACGCATGGATTAAATACCTTTGCTCTTAATTTTAAAGGTATTTTTTGGTTTTTAATAGTATATAAGAGTTTTCCGAATGAAGCTCACCCCATTCTTATTCTTCTGGTTATTTCTTTAGTCTGGTTACTTTTGTCTGCTCTGATAGCTTGTCCTAAATTCCTAAAATTCCTAAAATTAAATATATTCTTGGACGTGTTCTATGTTTGTTCCAACTATGGTAATTACTCATCTATCTTCTGTATAGTCCTTTCTCGAGACATGTTTTTTCTAGGTCTAAAATCATTATTCATAGTTCCATAGTTGTATCATCGGCGAATATTAGATTATTTAAATATTTTCCGTTTATACAAATCCCTTTATTGTCCCAGTCTATAGATTTAAAAATGTCTTCCAACGCCAGAGTAAATAGTTTGGTTGAGATTGTATCCCCTTGTCTGACACCTCTATAAATTCAAACAAATCATACCATAAATCTACTGACGCATTTTTATCCTTACTCAAACGAACCAAATCTTATCTTAACCGATTGAATAAAGCCTATGCTCAACCGACCGAATCTTAGGCTCCCCGCATACTATCAATTTTAAATCGTACAACTATTTAGTTGTTTGTCAAAACACTACTATATCAAATGGAGGCTCGCATACTATCGTCTAAATGGTTGCTCGACAGAAACATCTCATCGTTCGAATAAAACCTTATCGATCGCCTTTTGACTGAAAAATTGCACAACTATCGATAAGCAACTTAATTTCCATAGTATTAGATGGCCCCACGCATAGACTCAACTAAACGGTTGTCTGACGTTTATTTGAGAGCATCTACCTAGATATACGAACAAGTCATTCATTTTGGGAAATATAGGTAGGTTTATTATTGTTTTAAGTTTAGTTTTTATATTTATCGAGAACTCATGTATTCTGAATTTTATTTAGTTTATATATATATATATATACATATATATATATATATATATATATACATATAGATATATATATATATCTATATATATATATATATATATCGTACATCTAGTTCAATACTGCCACAACTCCAAAAATTCCAATTTTGAGTTAAGGCTTTAAAAAGGTTGCATATATGATACCCCATCTAATGCAATACAACCTTAACTGAAATATTGTCTTGGATAAGTATAAAGTAAGATATTTCGGTATTACACTGTAGGGTTTTGAAATGCAATATGGCCATAACTAGGAGATGTGGCGATAATACACTCCGCCACAATACAACCGATGTAATTCAATACGGTCACAACTGCAAAAATTGTTAGATTAGTGGTACGATTTTATCAGTTCTCAGTTATTTATGCACGAGATATCCACGTTTTTAGTGTACAACTATTTGATTTATAGTCTGAAAACAGTGTATAGTGATATTATTATTAACTTTATTATTAAACACGATGTCAAGGGCAAGAAAAATGCTTGGACTAGCTTTGCAAAGCTATCTTAAAGATGATGAGAATCTGATAGACAATTCAGAGGTTTTTGAGGTTATGAATGATATCTCCTTTGTGTTGACCGAGGTTTGTATTTCAACAAAAATCACAGTGAGCTTTTACTTAATGTATGTAATTTTTTAGCTTACTCCGGTTGCGTTACCCGTGCAATCAAATCATACCGCAAATACTTTTGAAGATCAAGAAAATCTACATACAGACCCTCGCCAAGATGATTACATAGAGCAGGTATATTTTTATGAAACAAGAAACGGTTACTGGATCGGTAAAAAAAAATAAGAGAACACATAAATTCTTTCCAAAGGGTAGAATCACATTATCTTAGAGCACAAACTACAAACGAATACATAGATGGTTCACTTACTTTAGCTCAAATGTATCGCTACTACAAACTACAGGAAGAGAGTGAAGGAAGGCCTGTGGCTAAAAAATGCACTTACGAGCATATTTTCAAAACTGAGTTTAACATAACTTTCTTTCAGCCAAAAAAAGATCAGTGCGCAATTTGTGAATCATATAAAAATTCTTCTGCTGAACAGCAAGCTACTCTTCATCAAACTTATAATAAACATATCCATAATAAAATTAGAAGCAGAGAAGAAAAAGTAGAAGATCTAGCAAGAGCAAAAGATGATTCTCAAGTATTGGTAGCTTGTTTTGATTGAATCCTTCCTACACCTTGTGAGGATGTTTCAAGCTTCTACTATAAATGCCGCCTGAACGGCTTCAACTTTACAATTTTTCAGATATTGCAAAAGACTGGTTACTGTTACTTTTGGCACGAGGCTATTGCTAACCGCGGCTCAAACGAAATAGCTACGTGTCTGTTTGATTATCTCTATGCATATTGGAAAAATTAATGTTTAATCAATCACACATAAATTTTTAACAGTGGGACACACCCAAAATGAAGGGGACGCCATGCACTCAACTATTGAGAGGCAAAAGAAGAAAATACTTAAAACATGTCCCATTTATGTTCCTGCACAATGGCCTGTCATCATGAGATCTGCAAAAAAAGAGGGAAATCCTTACAATGTCAAAGAAATGTCAACAGAAGACTTTTATGACTTTAAAGATCTCAATTCAAAAATTGGAGGAAATTTTACAAAGAATACAAAAGATGAAAAGGTAGTCTGGAATGATATCCAAGTTATTAAAGTTGTCAAAAGCAATCCTGGATCTTTCTTCTATAAAACAGATTATAATGCCGATGAGTTCGAAGAGGTTCATTTTAAAGCATCGACAAGGAGGCGTTCAGCAACTGTGGAAGCAGTAATCGATTGAAAAAAGGCGTACATAAAGCCTCCATCGATATTCGCAAAAACAAAGCAACACCTTTTGGAACTGCAATAAAAACTTAATATTACCTGTACATCACAATTTTTATAAGGACTTGGCTAATAGTAATTAAAAAAATGTTCATACACACTTGTAATAATAATAATAAAAATATTTTTTGTAAGAACTAGTTGATTTTTTTTATTATGTTGCCGCCGTATCTCCTATTTATCGTTTTATAAATGACTTTCTTCACAATGCAATATCGCCATAACTATCAAAATAAATACAATTAACGTTTTATTTTTAATAAATTGTAATAAGATCCAGCGAATAACTGTATAATTTGCTAACTAAATTATAATTTTGAAGCCAGACATTCTAAAAATAAATTATTTACAAGGCATAACTCGTTTGCTACAGAACGTTTTGCTCATTTCTCGAAATTATTGTATTTTGGACTTGTGGCACTATTGAACTAGGTGTGCGATATATATATATATATATATATATATATATATATATATATATATATATATATATATAATATATATATATATATATATATATATATATATATATATATATATATATATATACTATAGCTACTTATTTATACTTATTTACTATAGCTACTGCAAAGTCTGTGTTTACATTTAGTGGTCTATGAAGTATGCGCCATTTATTTGCTAATATACCAAAAGTACACTCTACCATACGGCGAGCTCTGGTATGTCTATTCGATAAAACTGACAAAACTTATCTGGGTAAGTCTTCAGATTGCAATGTAGAATTTTTTCCTTTTTTCATTATCTTCCATGTACAGTAATGCACAAGCAAGTACTTTTTTGTTATACGACATGATGACACACTGAAATCTCCAATGTTTTTACTTGTTTGTAAGTAAATTATGTGACACTGTAAAAATCGGCGGACACAAACTGCCGAATCCGAGCAAGTATGTAACTGACAGTCCGGCAAAAACTAAAAATTACGTAATAGTGCAAAATATTCAAATAACGTAACATTCCTTTTCAGGGCAATAAATGTTATATACAAGGTAAAATTTTTATGTCAGTATTTTTTACATGTAATTAAATAAAAATTGCACTTGTACTTTGGATCTTTTAGTTAAATCTTATCTAAAGCGTTAATAAACATGTGATGTTAAACAATAAAAACATTTAACTATTTTTATCAGACCTATAATAATTACATACCTATTTATGTATATTATAAAACATATTTTTATAATGAACTTTCTGTGTTAAACTATACATATCTGCCTATTGGAGAAATTAAGTTAACTTCACATTACTGAATACGGTGCTGATTAGAATAACTCCTATATCGGCAGTCTAGTAGCTACACGCCCCTTGGAGTTTTGGCAACACAGATCTCCATAAGCAAAACGTTCCGTTCTTCACGTCAAATAAATTAGTCTTTTTTCGCAGTCATATAAACCCAAACTAACAACAACAACTAGTATTTGTCAAGTGCATCTAATATTAAAAGATCGTCGAATATACGTCATAAAGTATAAAATATTCCACAAAAGTTTTAAAAAGCATGAAATAATTAAAAATGATACTATTATTAAGATACAACAATATTGAACAATCCTGTTCAATTTCAGAGCAGAAACGATCCTAAAACATGAACTGCCTAAGATATCTACGCTACAAATAGTTCTATTACAAAATTAATTTTAAGTGTGCAAAAAAATACTTACCATATGAGGAAACTCGTGTCGTTTTGGAACCGCTATTATTTCATTATTGTATATTCGACAATCAAGATACCGATATGGCCTTTCAAAAAGAGACCAATTTGCAATAACGTAAGCATATGCGCTGTAGACTTGGCACACTAAAATCAGTTAAACACAGGTTATAACAAATTTTCTATTATTAAATTTATTTTAATTAAAGAACGTTTAAAAAAGCAATGAAATAAAAAAGTATGTTTATTTTGAATTAATTCAATCTCAGAATATTTAGGAGTACCTATCCCTGCAGAGTAGTGATAGTGGTTATAGCCATACTATTTGCCATTTTTCCATACCACAGCACTGATCTTATCCTTGCCTTCTATCTGCATGGCGAGTCTGTTACAATCCAAGCCGTTTGCAACTCCCCTGGTACCAGCGATTTCTGTCAAATTAGTCATTTTGACCTAATTTTCTCCTTGCCATTGCGTCTAGGAATTCAAACATTTGCAACATTCTAAAGTACTATTTGCCTTCCTCGTTTCTTCGTTCCAACTGAAGCTCACTGTTAATTCTGTTTACTGTTTCATTGTTTCATTCTCTGGAGGTGTCCATACTACATAAGCTGCTTCATATTAATAAAAGAACTACAGTATTAATAAGTGACAGTGTTACTGGAGAAAATGAATAATACGGCTTAAAATTTTATTACTGAATCAATACTTTAAAAACTACATATATGATAGTCAGCAAAACATCGCTAGGGGTCTACATAATAATTGGAATATGAGCAAAAATAATACGCATTGAAAAGGGCAGAACAATGTTTTTCCGAATGAGACAACTATAACGTGAACGGAGTATTAACGATAACCTGAAAATAAGACTCGCCAAATGTTACATCGTTCCGACATTAATGTATATAGTTAAAAGTTACACGCTCACTAAATCGCTATTAAGGCTGTTTTATCGGTACACCAAAACCTAGATACAGTGTTTTCTCTGTTATTTACCCACAAAATATCTCGAAATTTGAACACGTTATTCAAAATTATGTTGCCTTTAAACTGATGGGTTTACTTTTTTAATTTTTTTGAAAGTTCTTTTGAAATATCGGATTATACAGTTTAACGTTTTATTATAACCAAACTGTTTACGCCCATCACTTGAAAGAGTTTTTTTTCTGTAATCGTTGGTTTTTTTTTTCACCTTTTTATGTCCAGTAATAAACGAGAAAAGCGTGTTCAAACTTTGAAGAAAATTGCTAAAAAATACTGAAATCGAATAGTGAAACGTGTTACTCATCATTGGCATTTAGTTTCACCGTTATCGGCTGCGTGACGTCAAATCTCATGAACGTACGGTCAGATAGTTTGATTTGAAATCAATTTCAAGCTATAACTGCGAAATTGTTTATTTGTTTGTGACAACAAATTGTATTTTTTTTGATAATAATATTTTTATGTTATTATAAATTTATTATAAATAAACACCATGATGCTTTTTGCAGTCACGTTTCACAAATTTATATTCAATACTATATATAGCTAAGACATATAAATTAAAAATGTGATAATTATTTTTAAAACATCTACGATAATCAAACCAAAAAGGTATTCCCGACAAAAGTAATTTAAATGGAGAATAATGCATTTGTTGTCATTAAACCACCCGCCGGCCGGCGCCTTTGCGAAAACAGCTGTACCCGTCATCGGCTGGCGTAAGCAGTGAGGAAAAGTAAGTGATACGCCCATTTTAAATCGCAGTGTGTTTTGACTGCTAAAACAGCCTTAAATAAACTTATAATAAACTGATAAATAAAGATGTATTTTAACATTTAAAACAACAAGAAGTAGTAAAAATCCTAAAAATACGAAAATTTGAGTATTTTGCTTATGTCATGCAAAAATCAGAACAATATGGAGTCCTCTATCATATTATTAAGCGCAAAATATATTGTAAGAGGGGTCCGATTCAAGAAGAACATCATAGCTTCGTAACCTACGTAACTAGTTTAATCAGTCTTTGTTGTTTCTCTTCAGAGATGCAGTGAATAAAATTATGATAGACAATATGATAAAGAACGACGTTCAGTAATGTAGATAGCACGGAGAGAAGAAGATGTAGATATTGATTAAAATGTCAAAATTACCAAAAATTTTTCTTTAATAAACAGTTTAAAAAAAGGCTACTGTAAAAATTTTATACCTAATAGGTTTAAATAATTGAAAAAAGCCGTTAACATTAGAATCAGATCTCTAATTAACAAAAATTTTTTATGTTGACTCTAAATAAGTTATAGGTAATAAGTTTTTAAAAAATTCTTGCACTGTATCAAAACACGACCTAGCGATTAAAAAATCAACAAACCAACAGATTTGGGGAAAATCAAAGTGCGTGCCTGTTAGCCCAAATGACACGAGTTAGATGGTTCCATAACATGACGCCAATAGCAAGATGCTCACCACTTGTAGACCCGAATATCACGCGGTGACTTCTGTTTATTATGTCGGTAGCTTAAGGTGGAATATGGTTTAGGTAAGATATTTGATAGCACGTACAGATGTCCTAACCAAGAATGGCAAACAATTAACTGCAAAGCTTTTTAAATTTTAGAAAACAGCACTGAAGATACCCATTAAGGGTACAAAAAACAGGTGCAGATTTTTTTAACTATAATTCTTTTACTTACTTTTATCAGCTTTATCTCCAGGACCTGGTCCAGTTCTCTCAGATGTATTTTCATTCTGTACTGGCGGAGAAGTTGAATATGATGTAGGGCTATCTAAACAGCATATAATGGGATAGTAATTTTTTGTAAAGCCACATAATGATTTATCCGGTATGATTCCGTCACGAATATTCTCTATGGCAGATTTACATTCTAAATCTTTAACACACACACCTTCAAGACCAGCTTCTGTGGTACACTTGTCATCTATAATTATTATCATTTATAATATGTGTTATTAATTTATACTACGTTTTCCATATTTTTTAAATTTTAAATCGTTTTTAAAATCGACTAATAAACTAATTTTATTATTTATTTTTTATTTATATTTAAAACAAAATATATTTTATTCAATAATGCAATGAATTATTATGTTTGCTCCTACCGCCACCTGTTAACGTATTAACAAAGCATGCGTTGTTAATTTCTGATAGACCTGTCAAATTTGGACGAAATATTTAATTAGAATTAAAAATAAATAAATATCATTTGATAGTAAATTTAATTATTATACAAGGGATCCCATAGTTAATGGGTGATAGCTTATATCAAAATAAAGCGTTGAAGCTCAAATTGCTTGGGCAAAATACTGCTAGTTTTCGTTCTACAGGATGATTCATTAGTATTTTTTACATTATTTTTAATATTGTTCTAAAGCTATTTTCTTGTGACATTTTAAAGTAATTACTATTTAAATGGAAATAAGCCATAATTAAAGGTTAAAGTAAGTTTATTGACGTTTCAATCTCCACTTTGGAAATCGTTCTTAAAATACAAACATTAATAAATTAAACAAATTTTGTTTTTCATTACTTAGTGCAAAATTCTTCTAAAAATTTAATTTTATCTGTATTATTCTGAATTATTCAAATATAGTTCTAAAAGAAACGGGCGGTAAAAAGAGAAAAATCAAAGAAGCTGCTCTAATTATGCTAAATGAGGCCAATTGTTTCGCAAATTCATCGACAGAATGTAGTAGGATCTGGTTACCCATATTAAAAGAAAACGTTATTAAAATAAAAATACCAGTACTAGTAAGTCAGTAACATATAGAGGATATATCAGTAATATGTTTTTTAAATAACAAACATATAAAATCAGAGTTTGTTGTTTATTGAAAACTAACTTATTGCACGACCAAATACTTATCATGTCGGGATAGTATTATGAGGTTTTTTTTCCTGGTTTTTGCTTCATAATTTACTATGAAATCACTGACAGGAGAGTTGTACTGTCATTATGACATTTGTTTGTCTTTTCAGAGACTAATTACATGATATGATTGTTTCTGACGGATATTCTCAAGCTAAAGTTGATTTTCACATTGACAGGATTGCAACTCAACAATATTGGCAATATCATTTTTAAGTAGTCTACATTGAAATGTATACCCTAAGCCTGAATTGTAAATATAAATTATATAAATGTAAATTTCACTAAAAGGTAATTTACAAAAAAGGCAAAGTCAACAACAACGCAGATGCATTGTCTCAAATTGATGCATTGAATCAAAGAAATTGATTCACAAATTAGGAAGTTTTTGATGATTTAGGCAACATGGAAGATGATGGATGGTCAACATATAATAATCCAGATGAAGATCGGATTATTATATCGGAAGTTTGTAATGAAAAAAGCAAATCAGTTAATCCCAAAAAATATTTCAGTTCATATGGTTGAAACAAAAGATCAAGACATAGACGAAGACGCAAATAAAACAAGATATACAGCAGCAGCAAATCCAGTTCTTAGCATACCTATTGCATAAAAGCTACTAAACTGTTACAATAACCAAATTCAAAATATTAATATCAAAACCGTCCACTACAGCCCACGACCTCCATTAATTGCCCAAACTTATCCGTATAAAAAGCGTTATCATATTATCATATATCATATAACTGTCGAAAGACCAGTTACAAGCCGATATTATAAAAATTTTCAAGCAGCACTTCAACTCGAAAAATAAGTATCCGATCTTATGTGAAGATGAGGAAAAAGTATTTGCATAAATTTGCGAAATTATTAGAAAAACGTTTAAAAATAACGCATATAACCTGGTAAAATGTAATCTGTTGAACTTTGAAGAAAAACAAAATAAACTTATAAGGAACTATGATGAAGAAAAAAATAACCGTAGAGAAATAGCTGTAACAGAAAACCAAATAAGAAAACGATACTACTGGACTAATATGAAGAAAGACCTAGAAGAAGTTATAAACTTCTGCGATATATGCCAAGAAAATAAATATGACAGAAAAAAAAAAAAAAAAAAAAAAAAAAAAAAGAGGTTAATCTTTGTAAATGGGTATATTTATTTAAAAAACCCTTAAAAGGGCCACATCAATAAAACAAACGTTTTCGGACCACACAGTCCATCATCAGGTTATTAAAATCGAAAATGCCTAAAAATAAGTATAAACCATTTAGTTAAAACAAACGAGATTGTGAAATTTTGACTATGGTTGAAAAGCAAAAGATGGTTATACTTACTAGGTCATAATGCCTGAGCCACCAAAATATTAGGGTAAAAACCCTTTAAATTACATTTAGTTATGAAATGTTGTACATTGTGTTATAAAATAACTGTGATGTTCAATATTAAATTAAATTTGACTATAGGTAACACATGGCCAATTGGGTTCCAGAGCCGGGTGAGAGGGAACCTCTGCACTCGGAGAACAACGTGGAACTGATTGACAAGATACTTTTGAAGGATGAAGATAACAGAATGGCAATGCAACAAAAACTATAAAAGTTGTACATAGTATTACTACAGCCAAAAGATTCAACAAGTTTTGATGATTTTAAAAAATAACAACAATCTAGGTGTTGGGATTTAAAAACTTTTTATTTATTAATTTAGGGTATAAAAGATGTCAAATCAATGATGGTTTTATAGTCATGATTAATAGAATAACCTGTGCCTTAGGCAACTTATGTTGCTTTTCGTCGTATGGAATGTGGTCTAAAGTGTATTTAATTTTGGGTTAGCTTGTATTTATGAAATTTATCCTTTTATGTTTAACACATCTAGGACAAGGTAAAAATTAAATAACAAATATTTGAAGCTAATATCAGACCTCATATTTAAATGACTTTATTTAAGAATGCTCCTATGGTGAAAAATTAATAAAATTAAGTTTAGTAAGATGGAAGTCTACAGGCTGAAGAAATTGAAGTAGTAACATATGTGATTGAATTTAAAATTGAAGAGACTGGGTTCCTCAGAGACTAATGAGAATGAAAGTAAAAGAAATGACCGAAGAAAAGGAGGGGGGGGGGTTGAAGGAGAAAAGGAGTTGATCAACAATTGGAGATAATAGGGGTCCTTTATACTTAAAGTATCTAGCACCCTGAACAAAATCTATTTAGGTGGTATTAAATTCAGTTTGTAGAAACCTGAAATTTGTTGTATAAGTGTGCTACTAAGTTGTTGACCGAAAGAAGGTGGACAAAGGTAGATTAGGATTCTTTGTAATATGGTAGATTATGAATTTTAATAAATTGTTAGATAATGTTTGAGTGATTACTAAATTAAAACTATTGGATACATGTTTAATATATGAATTGACCAAGAAATAATGAAAGAGAACAGAATTAATAGGAAAGCGATGTAGAAGTGAAGAGTGGATAAGATAGTGAAATGTTGGTATGATGGATGTGGGTGGTTCTGAAGTTAAAATTGGGGTCAGAAATTTGTGAGAGGAAAGTGTGACGATATTGTATAAAATGGGTGTTTGAAGAACCACAAGATTATGTAGGAATAAGGTGTTGACGTTTGTATAGGAAAATAAGGCAGAGAAAATAGGACAGTATTGTGAAGTGTGGACTATGAAAAAAGTTGACGATGTAAAGGTTGAAAGTCACGGTTGAAAGATACATGGCGATTAACACAATTGGGGCTTTTTTGTTTTTCTTTGACTATTTCCAAGTCTTCATATAGATCTAATTTTAGAAAATTTTTTTGGGGAATATTATGTAACAAAGAGACGTCTTCTGGGATGTTGAGGGTATGTTTATGTTGTGCAAGATGTTGAGAGAAGGTGGAAGTGTTCTCTATTTTAGTGTGTTCTAAGGAACGAGAAGTTAGTGATCTACAGGTTCTACCTATATATGTAGCATCACAATCAGAGCACTGTAATTTATAAACACCACTACGATCCATGTAGTTGATGGGATCGTAGTGGTGTTTATAAATTACAGTGCTCTGATTGTGATGCTACATATATACAAACGTCAACACCTTATTCCTACATAATCTTGTGGTTCTTCAAACACCCATTTTATACAATATCGTCACACCTTCCTCTCACAAATTTCTGACCCCAATTTTAACTTCAGAACCACCCACATCCATCATACCAACATTTCACTATCTTATCCACTCTTCACTTCTACATCGCTTTCCTGTTAATTCTGTTCTCTTTCATTATTTCTTGGTCAATTCATATATTAAACATGTATCCAATAGTTTTAATTTAGTAATCACTCAAACATTATCTAACAATTTATTAAAATTCATAATCTACCATATTACAAAGAATCCTAATCTACCTTTGTCCACCTTCTTTCGGTCAACAACTTAGTAGCACACTTATACAACAAATTTCAGGTTTCTACAAACTGAATTTAATACCACCTAAATAGATTTTGTTCAGGGTGCTAGATACTTTAAGTATAAAGGACCCCTATTATCTCTAATTGTTGATCAACTCCTTTTCTCCTTCAACCCCTCCCCTCCTTTTCTTCGGTCATTTCTTTTACTTTCATTCTCATTAGTCTCTGAGGAACCCAGTCTCTTCAATTTTAAATTCAATCACATATGTTACTACTTCAATTTCTTCAGCCTGTAGACTTCCATCTTACTAAACTTAATTTTATTAATTTTTCACCATAGGAGCATTCTTAAATAAAGTCATTTAAATATGAGGTCTGATATTAGCTTCAAATATTTGTTATTTAATTTTTACCTTGTCCTAGATGTGTTAAACATAAAAGGATAAATTTCATAAATACAAGCTACCCCAAAATTAAATACACTTTAGACCACATTCCATACGACGAAAAGCAACATAAGTTGCCTAAGGCACAGGTTATTCTATTAATCATGACTATAAAACCATCATTGATTTGACATCTTTTATACCCTAAATTAATAAATAAAAAGTTTTTAAATCCCAACACCTAGATTGTTGTTATTTTTTAAAATCATCAAAACTTGTTGAATCTTTTGGCTGTAGTAATACTATGTACAACTTTTATAGTTTTTGTTGCATTGACATTCTGTTATCTTCATCCTTCAAAAGTATCTTGTCAATCAGTTCCACGTTGTTTTCCGAGTGCAGAGGTTCCCTCTCACCCGGCTCTGGAACCCAATTGGCCATGTGTTACCTATAGTCAAATTTAATTTAATATTGAACATCACAGTTATTTTATAACACAATGTACAACATTTCATAACTAAATGTAATTTAAAGGGTTTTTACCCTAATATTTTGGTGGCTCAGGCATTATGACCTAGTAAGTATAACCATCTTTTGCTTTTCAACCATAGTCAAAATTTCACAATCTCGTTTGTTTTAACTAAATGGTTTATACTTATTTTTAGGCATTTTCGATTTTAATAACCTGATGATGGACTGTGTGGTCCGAAAACGTTTGTTTTATTGATGTGGCCCTTTTAAGGGTTTTTTAAATAAATATACCCATTTACAAAGATTAACCTCTTTTTGTTATACGTGGTATACAGCCAGCTACAGGAATTTTTCCTTGTGAAATATGACAGACTTCCACCCAAGCCTAAATTTATGGTTAGACCAGCTCCTACTTAACCACTAGAAATATTTCACATGTCAGCCTACCACATTCAAGCCTACCCAACAGATGGAGGAAATGCCATCAATTTATTCAACGTCCTATTAACTTTTGTAACACACCATGGACTCCCAACATTAATAATAGCCGATAATGGTACAGAGTTTAAAAATGGGCTAATACAAGAATTTCCAACTCAGATAAAATCTCAATTCACTATACAACGCCAGAGAATCCGCAATCCAACGGGATGATTAAGAGATTTCATTTTACACTAATTGAACATCTTCGGATCCTAAAAAACAAAAGTTATCGATAAAAGAACAAATAATATACGCTATAATTATTTACAATAATTTCATACATTCAGCAACCAAGTTAAAACCTATTGATATGCTAAACGGACACATCGACGCAAAAGATCCATTTGATGTTGACCTAGAGAAAATAATACTAAATAATTATTTACAAAATCATAGAGAGATAACTATAGAACTATACAAGGAAGTTAACCAGCCTATACAAGAAAACAAAGAAAAGGTAATCGAAAATGGAAACAAATCAAGACAAGTTCCCATTACGTATAAACCAAGCGCAAATATTTTTACCCAGAAAACAGTGACCAGAGAAAAATTACTTCCGCGATATTCTGAAAAATTTGTGGATCAAAATTCACAGTTCATAAAAAAAATATAAAACATCAAGCTAAATCAAAAAATAATTCTGAACCTTCCACACAAGATGACCCTGACACTTGACAATGAATTGAAGACTACGGACCTGAAAAACAAACCAGGAATAATTCTCCTCAACCTGGTATACATATATATATATATATATATATATATATATATATATATATAAAACAAACGTAAATATATATATATATATATATATATATATATATATATATATATATATATATATATATATATATATATATATAAAATAAATGTTAAAAACATTGTATAAAACTAGTATAAAACCTTTCAACATGAGGTTAATCTATTACATTTTTAAATTGACAACACATTAAAAATTAACTTATTCAAATTATATATTTATGTAAGTACAATATTTTAGAAAAACCCCTCTGTGGCTCAGTGGTAAGAGCGCCTACCTTCAAACCTAAAGGTCGTGAGTTCGAATCTCACCTGGGTGGAGAAATTTTCGTTTATTAAAAATTAATGAATGAAAATAATTTCTATCCTTGTGCAATCGGTACTCACCGGAGGGACCGCAGACGTTCGGATACAATTAGCGTCTCTTAGCAAAGACAGTGACGTCGACTTTGCTAAGTATCAAGACAATTACTCTACACACTCACACACACACACACACACACACACTATACTAGGTACCTGACTGTACCATGCCAATGACCATTAGTTGTCGAGGCATTAACTCAATAAAAAAAAAATAATTGAATTTTGTATCAATTCATTATGACATTGATTATTATATTGATGCTTGATTTATGTCAGAAAGACACTCTTTTCTGTTTATTATATTTTTTGTTGTTGATAACTAGCTCTCGATTGTTATATGAATATTTAAATTTTTTGAAATTATAGTGTTTATAGTCAGAAAATCCAATGTTAGAAAATTATAGTATTCATTTTTGTAAGACAGAATATAATTAAAGATATTGCTTAGTTTATCAATATCAGTTTTTTATTAACGCATTGATATTTATTTATGCATACCATTTCTAAAAATTCTCTTTTATGTAATTGGTTTTCACATCTTAATATATTAGTTTCATTGAAAGTTTCACTATTAGTGCACACGTATTTTTATTATTTCTAAGATCACTTTTATGTGATGTTAGTCTACCTATTAGATTTCTAGATGTGTGTCGGATGTATGACTTATCACAATTTTCGCATGGTATTCTATAATCTACATTTGAGCTTTCCATAATGCTAATAGGTGATTTAGTTTTTGTATACAATAATGCTAATGTTTTAACATTTTCAATTGCAATTTTAGTATAAGAATAGTTAGCAAAGACTTTAGTTAGTTTGAGTGTTAATGTTGGTATGTTAGGTAGTTATGCGAAAGTAAATTGAGATTGCACGATTTGTTGATTTGCTTCTCTTGTTTGACTCATGTCAATCATATTCTACTCGTATTATTAGGATTGTTAAATAAAAATTTGTTCATTAGTTTAATTGGGTATGAATTCTCTAATAAAATGTCTTTTAGTTCCACTAACCCCTTGTTGATGTTATTGGTGTGTGATAATTTGACTGTTCTGTTTTTTATAACAAGAAGCTTATATTATATGTTACAGGTACAAAATTCTAGCAACGAATCTCCAGAAGAAGCCAATGCAAAAGTTTTGTTCGTACCTCACAAAACTTCTTCAGGGGATGAAGTAGTTATAGTACAATGACCCGTGGAATCCAGTATATTCGACCATGCTAAGTAAATCAAGAAGTTGACGCTTACCAGCATCGAATATTCCGGAGCCTTACAACATCAATTCCGACTTACTAAAACAGCAAATACAGCAAGTGGAATTATTATAAATAAAGCATTGTAAAACTTAATTTTTTCAGTCTGACAGTCAGACTTTAATGTGATAATAATCCTGTTTTATTTATATTTACAGTTTAAATAATATATTTTGAGTTGTAACTATCTTTGCTAGTGTAAATAAAAGTTTAGTTTGAGTGTTCGTGCTTTTTAAAAAAATGTTTTCAAAAAGAACATTCATAATTCACGATAAGTTTTATGATTTTAAAAATATTGTAGTTATAAAATATACAAAAATACATACGTTCTCTCTGCCCCATTACATCGGACGAGCATACCAGGAAAATAACAAAAGTAACAATTATTCTGATGTGAAACATTTTACCTGCAGAAGTACATTCACCAGACAATTAGAGTTTTCTAAAACTACAAAAAGGTTAGTGTAGCGTACCTTATATTTATGTTGTTTATTGTTATTGGGAATTTTATAAATTGCGCAGTAGGTGCAAGTGTTCATATCTTGGTCGAGATATTAACGAAGCAAAGTTGATTAATTGAAAAATCCAGTTTGAGCAGTTTAATAATAAGCTTAAAGCAGAGGTGGGCTTCGCCAATAATCAATAAATTTGTAATAAAAATATTTGTTCATACCTGCTATTCATGTTATTAAATCAAGTAAAAATATTTTTTTAAAACAAAATTTACACTTTCTTCTTCTTAAAGTGCCGTCTTGTTTATAATATTGACGATCATCATGATTATTTGAATTGTCAATTAGGTACTCTTTTATTTTATTTTTGAAGTTATACTTCTATACGCACGGTCGGCGTTGGAAATTTGCATGGGAGTGAATCTGTATAACCATTCCAGCAATTTTCAGATAAAGAACTTACTTCATTCAACATTTAGGTCGTCAGAACCCCCACAGCGTTGCCAAACCATCAAAATAGTTAGTAAGTGAGGAATTTTTAAAATGTCAACTATTTGTCATACTATTATATTAACAGTAAATACACTTAGTTTTAAGACTACTGCAACACATTAAAATGCATAAGAAACCAGTTTAGTACAAAATTATATATTCCAAATTTTAAACTTACCTCTTTTAGGGATTTAATAGTAAAAACGTACCGCCATTATTTCTTGTTTAAAATATAATCTATCTTATATGAAAGCTTATCAGCTTTCTACGGACTTTTATTTGTTTTAACATATCACAATCACAATACACAACAATAATTAGTTTTTAAAGCTATTAATCTAAATGTAAAATGCATTTATAAATACAATTTATTAATATATATTATATTAACAGTAAACTAGTAGACAGTAACTATTTGTCATACTATTATATTAACAGTAAATACACTTAGTTTTAAGACTACTGCAACACATTAAAATGCATAAGAAACCAGTTTAGTACAAAATTATATATTCTAAATTTTAAACTTACCTCTTTTAGGGATTTAATAGTAAAAACGTACCGCCATTATTTCTTGTTTAAAATATAATCTATCTTATATGAAAGCTTATCAGCTTTCTACGGACTTTTATTTGTTTTAACATATCACAATCACAATACACAACAATAATTAGTTTTTAAAGCTATTAATCTAAATGTAAAATGCATTTATAAATACAATTTATTAATATATATTATATTATTTTTAAATTGTGTAAGAAATCAAAACATAAAGAAAATTTCTACTCTAAACACCCGACAACACGTAATATACTTTTACCACCCTCTGAACTGTCAATAATATTTGATATATTTCCGGATTAGTTGCATACAATTGTCTAATATTATTAATTAAAATTATTATTTTGTGGAATATTAGACTTCAAGAGTTCTTTCATAAAATTTATATTATTAATAATAATAAATGTTTTTAGTTGTGTGTGTGCTCTTGTTTTCTTTTGACTGTGAACTTAATCCATTAGCCGAACTAAAATTGCTCTTATAATATATCTTTTATACTCATTATATTTATGAATATATATAACCTATTTGATAATAATGATTTACAATATTAATTTACATATATTATACAGGTACCTACATATATTTACAGAGTGTTTTTCTATTTTTGTTAAAGAATTAGACAAAAAATACTATATGCTATACTAAATATTAATACTACCTACTAATAACTAATAAATTATATACCAATTTTTCTTTTTTTTTATTTTTTTTTAATTTTTTTATTTTTTTTTTTTTTATTTTTTTTTTTAATTTTTTTTTTATCACAGCGCTAGGGCATAAACCCGGTTCAACACCTCGGAGGTTTAGGCCCTCTTTGTGTGTTTTCTTTTTTTTTTGATAATTTTTTTTGGTTTAATTTTTTTTTTTTTTTTTTTTTTTTTTTATTTTCTTTTAATTTTTTTATTTTTGTTTTATTTTTTTTACTTAGCCTTTTTTTTATTTATTTAAGTTTTTTTTTTGTTTTTTTTTTCATATTTTCACTTATACAAAATTTCACAATTTTAGTTTTATATTAATAATGTGTTTAATTAGGATCTCATAGATACTTTTATCTTTAGTAGCAATCAAAGCTTGTAGATTAAAAGGTTTTCTTATATATTTTGTAATATAAATTTGATCTAAAAAATAATCTATTTCTGTTTTTTTTAATTTACAATCTAATATCATATGTTCTGCGGATCCTAATTCTCCACATTCACAACAGTTTGTGTCTGACAGTCCTATTTTATGTTTATGTTGTGGAACTAAGGAGTGGCCAAATCTAAGTCTACATATATATGATATAAAGACCTTTTTGCCTTGATAGTCACTAAACCAACTTTTAGATGGGATCTCTGTTTGGATAGTTTTATAATACCGTCCCTTTTTGGAATTAATATACCATTCTTTCCAGTTATTGATTTTATTAATATTAATATGAGCATATGCGTCATTTAGTGTTAACTTATATTCATAGTTAGTATCTAATTCTGTAGCTCTTTTTGCTAGTTTGTCTACAATTTCATTATTTTTTAAATTACAATGGGCTTTTATCCAACAGAATGATATTTCTTTACCTTTGGATTTGAGTACAATAAAGTTTTTAATTATTTCTATAATGATATGATTGTAATGTTCTGTCCACTTCTCCAATTTAGTTAGAGCACTTTTACTATCTGAAAGTATCACGAATCTATCACTATTTGTGATAGTTGCTATGTACTGCATTGCTCTTAATATTGCTATTAGTTCTCCTGTATATACCGTGGTTTCTGTAGTTAGACCTATTCCTTCTCTGTATTGTGTTTTAGGGTCCCATATAGCAGCAGCAACTTTAGAGTTAATTTTTGAGGCATCTGTATAAATTTGGTAATATTTTGGGCATAGTATTTCTATATCTATATTAAACATTGAGTTCCTTATCTCCGGTGGGAATCTCGAATAATCTCTCATGTAAATCGGCTGTATATTAGGAATACTATTTAGATATATTTGAAATATGGGTGATATTCTTGATGTGTATAATTTATTTTTAAATTGACGCAAGTTGTTGTAGGTTTCAACAAATAGTAAAGTAGGTTTTTTCTGCCAGTATTCACTCGTTAAATCATGTATAAAAAGTTTTTGACACTTATCCACTATTAAACTCTCTTTAGCAATGGTTTTAATTATAAACTTTTCGCATAGAGTTTTTCTTCTTAAATGTAGTGGTGGTTCATTGCACTCTATACTTAAATTAGATGTCGGGGTGCTTATTAGAGCTCCGATACATAATCGAAGACATTTATTTGATAACACTTCTACTTTTTTTAGGTGAGTTTTAACTGCTTGGTTGTAAAATATGCATCCGTAGTCTAAGATTGATCTTATATATGATCTGTACATTATTAACGAAATATTAGCATCTGCTCCCCAAGTTATGTGACTTACTGCTCGTAATGCATTATAACCTTTTTCAGCTCTGGTCACAACGTATTCAATATGATCTTTCCAGCTCATTTTTCTATCTAGTATCATCCCCAAATACTTAACTTTAGGTTGAACATTAAACTCTAAGTTTTGCATTTTTACTATCTTTGGAAGTTTTTGTTTTCTGGAAAATATACAAACTTGTGTTTTTTTAACAGATATTGTTAAATTTAACTGATACAAGTCATCAAGTAAATAATTGTATACTTCATTTATCATATTGCAACCATTTTCTACCTCCTCTTGGTCTACGTAAATACATATGTCATCTGCAAACTGTAGTACTTTACCTTGGTTGCGATTTAGTATGCTTTTGCCTATATCCGAAGTATAAATAGCATATAATATTGGGCTTAGGATACTTCCTTGGGGTATCCCAATGTTTGTTATTCTGGGGCCCACTAATTTGTTGTCAATTTGAATATATAAAACTCTATTACTGTATAGTTTATAAATTTTCCAGCACAGTATCTCTGGGATTCCTATTTTCTTCATTTGGTGATATAGTATTAATAAATTAACATTATCATAGGCATTTTCTACGTCTACAAATGTAGCAACGACGGATTTATTATTAGAAAATGAGTTATAAACATCAAGTATCAAGTGTGATAAGTTTTCCATTGTTGAGCATGATTTCCTGAATCCAAATTGCGTTGTAGAGAGTAGAGAATTTTTTTCCAACCAAAATTCTAATCTTTGTTTAATCATTCTTTCTAATGTTTTTAAGATACATGACGATAGCGAAATGCCTCTGTATGAATTCGGACAATCTGCAGGTTTATGTTGTTTGAGAATTGGGACTATAATATATTCTTTCCATGAGTTTGGAAATTCCATGCTTACCCATATATTGTTTAATATATTCAGAAATTGTATTTTCTTTTGGATAGGTAAATTGTATAGCATACTATAGTGAATACTGTCCTTTCCTGGAGCTGAGTTGTTATTATTTTTTATACAGCTTTTAAGTTCTTCCAAATTAAATTTTCCTGTTAGAAATGTACTGTCTTCAGTGACTGCATTGTTCGTTGTATATGTAATTTCCTTCTCAATGACCCAAGGTCTGGCAATTTTGTCAAAGAATAGTTCTGTCCAATCATTTTCTACTATTGGATTATTAGGTGGCTTATAGGCATTTTTTAATTTTCTAATCTCACTCCATATTTTATTAATAGGTGTATTTTTACTTAAACTATTACATAAATTTTTCCATGAGGCTCTTTTACTATTTAAAATAATTCTTTTTTTATTAGCTTCCGCTTGCTGATATTTTAAATAATTTTCGTGGTTAGATATTCTTTTAAATTGTATAAAAGCCTCTTTTTGGTGTTTAATAGCCTCGCTACATTCATTGTTCCACCAGGGTTTATTAAATTTTGGATTGGTCATTTTTCTCTTCTCTGGGATGCTAATTTTACTAGCTTCATTTATAGAATCGTAAAATATTTGATATTCTTGTTCTATATTTTCTCCTAGATT